ATGCTGTATGCCAAATATCAAGAGGCTGTGATAAGTAGTTGCTGAGAAAACTGTTACGAAAATTTCCTACCATTGACCATTAATGTCGAAAAATCTAACTAATTTAACAAAGTGGATAAACAGGAAGTGGATGAGTGAAAGACCTGAAATCTTATCCCACGGTATGGGACCATGTGTCTATGCTGTATGCCAAATATCAAGAGGCTGTGATAAGTAGTTGCTGAGAAAACTGTTACGAAAATTTCCTACCATTGACCATTAATGTCGAAAAATCTAACTAATTTAACTAAGTGGATAAACAGGAAGTAGATGAGCTGCAGACCTGAAATCAAATCCCACGGTATGGGACCATGTGTCAATGCTGTATGCCAAATATCAAGAGGCTGTGATAAGTAGTTGCTGAGAAAACTGTTACGAAAATTTCCTACCATTGACCATTAATGTCAAAAAATCTAACTAATTTAACTAAGTGGATAAACAGGAAGTAGATGAGCTGCAGACCTGAAATTAAATCCCACAGTATGGGACCATATGTCTATGCTGTATGCCAAATATCAAGAGGCTGTGATAAGTAGTTGCTGAGAAAACTGTTACGAAAATATTTTCCCCGCCCGCCTGCCCGCCCGCCGCCCGACATTCACCATATTATAACCCAGATTTGCACCAGTGCAACCTGGCCAAAAATAAAGTTATAGCCACAAATAGCAAAAAAACAAGCAAAATTTTGACATTTGACCTTGAAGGTTAAGGTTATTTATAAATGAAAGTTAAGGTTAGTATGACCTTTTTCAAGGTCTCATCCCAAGGTTGTTGTGGTAAAGTATGAACGCAATACATCAAGAACTTAAAAAGTGATAATCAAAGTTATTGTTTGCGGTCGGCAACATAAAAGCAGACATGACTTTAACAATACCTCTACCTTTTTTAATATTATAAAAATTGAACCGGGTGATGCTCCACGAATAGGTTTTGGACACAGGAAAGTATACCTCTTGCAGTGTCACAGACAAAGTTTAAAGAGTAATAAAAATGAACAAAGGGCAATAACTCCAAAATAAAGCAAGGCAGAGATAAGGTTATTTTGCACTACACTTCTATTTAAAAAGATCAATATACCTAAAAATGTTTCATGTTGATATGTCTTATGGTAAGCAAGGCCAAGTTATGGTTCTTTTGCACTGCACTTCTACCCAATTTGATTTATCTACCTACAAAATTTCATGTTGATATCTCTTATAGTTTTAGATGTCCCGGACAAAATTCAAAGTGTAAAAATGAACAAAGGGCAACAACCCCAAAATTAGGCAAGGCAAAGTTATAGTTCTTTTGCACTGCACTTCTACCCAATGGGATCTATCTACCTACAAAGTTTCATGTTGATGATTTCTTACAGTTTAAGTTATATCATGGACAAAGTTCAAAGTGTTAAAATGAACAAAGGACAATAATTAGGCAAGACAGAGTTATAATTCTTTTGCACTGCACTTCTACACAATGAGATCTATCTTCCTACAAAGTTCCATGTTGATATCTCTAATAGTTTTACAGTTATGTCCCAGACAAAGTTCAAAGTGTAAAAATGAACAAAGGGCAATAACTCCAAAATTAGGAAAGACAGAGTTATGGTTCTTTGGCACTGCACTTCTACTCAATGAGATCTATCTACCTACAAAGTTTCATGTTGATACCTCTTATGACTTCAGAGTTATGTCCCGGACAAAGTTAAAAGTGTAAAAATGAACAAAGGGCAATAACCCAAAAACTAACTTATGTCCAGGACAAGAATAGCAGACGGATGGATGGACAAAGCGGCGACTATATGCTCACCCATCGGGAGCATAAAAAAAAAGTAAAAAATGTTACAAAACACCTAGGTTACCCCATTAACTACACTATATGTTTAAAGTTACTCCTGAATAATTCAGGTATACATGTACATCAAACAAGAGGGCCATGATGGCCCTGAGGTCGCTCACCTGTATAAAGGCACCCGGAGCGAGGCCAGTTTAAACCCCAGGGCTTTTATTTGAACAAACTTGGAAGACACCCATTAGAAGATGTTTCACAATGTTTAGTTTTTACTACACACATATAATGAAAACAATGATCTATTCCCCCTCCCCCTCTCCCGTCAGGGCCAATTTTAATCCAGGGGCTTTTATTTGAACAAACTTGGTAGACACCAATAAGAAAATGTTTCATGCTAAACATCTAAGCTCTAGCTCATTGGGTTTTTTAAAAGAAGATTTTTTAAGTTTTTACTATACACATATAGTTTAAAACAATGACTCCCCCTGGGGCGGGGCCAGTTTTGACCCCAGGGCTTTTATTTGAACAAACTTTGTAGACACTTACTAGAAGATGTTTCATGCTAAATATCTAAACTCTAGCTATTTGGGTTTTTTCAAAGATTTTTAAGTTTTTGCTATACTCATATAAGGAAAATCAATGACCCCCGGGGCGGGGCCATTTTGACCCCAGGGCTTTTATTTGAACAAACTTTGTAGACACTCACTAGAAGATGTTTCATGCTTAATATCTAAACTCCAGCTATTTGGGTTTTTTCAAAAAAGATTTTTTAAGTTTTTGCTATACACATATAAGGAAAATCAATGACCCCCGGGGCGGGGCCAATTTTGACCCCAGGGCTTTTATTTGAACAAACTTTGTAGACACTCACTAAAAGATGTTTCATGCTTAATATCTATACTCCAGCTATTTGGGTTTTTTAAAAGCAGATTTTTTAAGTTTTTGCTATACACATATAAGGAAAATCAATGACCCCCTGGGGCGGGGCCAATTTTAACCCGTCCCCAGTGCTTTTATTTGAACAAACTTGGTAGATACCCATTAGAACATGTTTCATGCTAAATATCTTAGCTCTAGCTCTTTGAGTTCTTTAAAAGAAGATTTTTTAAGTTTTTACTATATACATATAGGGAAAATCAAAGACCCCCTTGGGCGGGGCCAATTTTAACCCCAGGGCTTTTATTTGAACAAACTTGGTAGACACTCACTAGAAGATGTTTCATGCTTAATATCTAAACTCCAACTATTTGGGTTTTTACAAAGAAGATTTTTTAAGTTTTTGCTATATGCATATAGGGAAAATCAATGACCCACTGGGGCGGGGCCAATTTTGACCCTAGGGCTTTTATTTGAACAAACTTGGTAGACACTCATTAGAAGATGTTTTATACTAAATATCTTAGCTCTAGCTCTTCGAGTTCTTTAAAAGAAGATTTTTAAGTTTTTACTATATGCATATAGGGAAAATCAAAGACCCCCTGGGGCGGGGCCAATACGACCCCAGGGCTTTTATTTGAACAAACTTGGTAGACACTCACTAGAAGATGTTTCATGCTTAATATCTAAACTCCAGCTATTTGGGTTTTTTCAAAGAAGATTTTTAAGTTTTTGCTATACACATATAAGGAAAATCAATGACCACCGGGGCTGGGCCAATTTTGACCCCAGGGCTTTTATTTGAACAAACTTTGTAGACACCCATTAGAACATGTTTCATGCTAAATATCTTTGCTCTAGCTCTTTGAGTTCTTTAAAAGAAGGTTTTTAAGTTTTTACTATATGCATATAAGGAAAATCAAAGACCCCCTGGGGCGGGGCCAATTTTGACCCAAGAGCTTTTATTTGAACAAACTTGGTAGACACTCACTAGAAGATGTTTCATGCTTAATATCTAAACTCTAGCTATTTGGGTTTTTTTCAAAGAAGATTTTTAAGTTTTTGCTATACACATATAAGGAAAATCAATGACCCCCGGGGCGGGGCCAATTTTGACCCCAGGGCTTTTATTTGAACAAACTTTGTAGACACTCACTAGAAGATGTTCCATGCTTAATATCTAAACTCCAACTATTTGGGTTTTTTCAAAGAAGATTTTTTAAGTTTTTGCTATACACATATAAGGAAAATCAATGACCCCCGGGACGGGGCCAATTTTGACCCCAGGGCTTTTATTTGAACAAACTTGGTAGACACCCATTAGAACATGTTTCATGCTAAATATCTTAGCTCTAGCTCTTTGAGTTCTTTAAAAGAAGATTTTTAAGTTTTTACTATATGCATATAGGGAAAATCAATGACCCCCTGGGGCGGGGCCAATTTTGACCCCAGGGCTTTGATTTGAACAAACTTAGTAGACACTCATTAGAAGATGTTTCATGCCAAATATCTAAGCTCTAGCTCTTAGGGTTTTTTTAAAAGAAGATTTTTTAAGTTTTTCCTATTGGTTGCCAGGGCAACCACTTTTTAATGGAATTTAAATTTTTGAACAACTTTGAAAGGGGTCCACCTAAGGATCATTTCTGTAAAGTTTGGTTGCAATTGGCCATGTGGTGTAGGAGATGTTGTTTGAAAAGTTTGACGCCATTTTTTGAAGGACGCACGACGCACAACGCAGGACGGACGCCGAGTGATGACAAAAGCTCACCCGTGAGCACTTTGTGCTCAGGTGAGCTAAAAAAGTACAAGTAGCATTGGGTTTGATGATTGAGACACTTTTGAAGCTGCTTGCCTCCAGATGAGCCAAAATATTTCACGGAAATTAAACTGGAGAAAAATCTTAAAGTAAAAAGATTCGAGTTATAACATACATTTTCCATTGGATTAAAGACTGCAGTATTTATCACCATATTTCTACTGTTTGACTAATGCAGATATTTATGCATGTTTTTACCTTTTTGGTAATTTGCTAGGATTTAAAGTGCCCATTTATGCATAAATTACTTTCTTTGTTCACTTCACAATATTTTCCTTTCGAAAACATTTTCAAACTTTTCATGAAAATTAGCATAAATCTGGATGTGTACTTCTTTAATAATAATTTATAAATATGTTTACTATCAACACCAAAGTGACAAATGTTTAGTCCTATTTTTCTTTCACTTTTTCTTTTTATTATATTAGTTATACGAGAATATGTCAGGAATAAGCTCTAGTTATACATAAACTCTCATATGAAGAAAGAACAATAACTCTTCTTTAACTTCAAATATTTCTTTTGAAGAGTAACACTGAGTGGATGACAATAGAAATGTATTTACATCTTTAATGATTTGCAATAAAAGAACATGGAATGAATACATGATTTAATTTTGAATGAAATTAACAAGTCAAATATTTTGTAAGTTAAAACTATCATCTACAAAATAATTAACAATTTAAATGACTTATAATGAAACTATTTTCAAAATGTAATTTTCTAACAGATGGTTATCTGCATGAAAGAAACAAACATGTTCTCATTCTTATTAAAAGAGTAAGACCTAGAACATTAAGATTTCATATACAATCTTTAAATCTACTTCATATCTTCATAACACCTCGATCTTAGGTCTAAGTATCCTTACTTGACCTTTGTTCATTTGAAAAACAAAATCAAAATGTTCAAAAACTGTACTTATCCCTTACATGTAAAAATATTTGCACAACAATGTCTAAACAGTCTTTAAGACTATATGAAAGTCCTTCATTTAGCGGTGGCAAGTGGATTTCTAAGTACAAGTATTACAGAGTCACCACGGAGGAACATTTTGGAGATGAATCTGTCTTTGTTCACAGGCTTTGATTTTTTCTTGCCCTTGCCAGTTTTTGGCACCTCTGTCCACATTTCCTTCACATTCTCCAGAACCATATTGCAATGCCTGAAATTCAAAATATAAATACTATATCTTAAACAAGTAAATATCTAAGAACATGAAAGGTTTTTACATGGCTGAAAAGCTCTTTCGTTTAATCAGATTTCATCCTAAATTAGATATAAACAAGACTAGTTATTTAGCTAGATCGTGATAAAAGCTTGAAGCGTATTGACACCACTCTTGAATCAACCTCCTAATCGGTAAATGCCTCCAGGTCAAAACTTCTAAGGTGTATCTCCACAAGACTTTCACTGTTCCAGGAACATTCTAATCTACTTTCTGACCAATCAAATACCTTGAAATATGAGATAGGAGTTTTAGCTAGGATATATTTTTATAACCTCAGACCAACGCCCTAGACCCAGGTGTCACTGAAATGAGCAAAAACGTTTTGAATTAATTTATTTACTCCAAAATGCTTCATTAATAAGGTCACTGATGAACAATCAGGGATCGAAAATTCCACTCATCCGCTTGTATTTACGAGTAGAGATCAATGCAGGATGAGTACAAAATGATAGGGTGCTCGTCCGGTAGGACCGTGGAAATTTGTCGATGTCAAAGGAAGCTAGAAATCTAATAATCAGTTTGTTTTCTTTTAACAATGGAAAACCAGAAACAAAGCTTGTGTATCTATAAATTTCACACTTTACACATAGTTAATAAGATATGGGTGTAACTGGAAAGTGCCCAACAATGCTCCATAAAGTGCACAATTTACACAACGTAAAACACAAGCTTTCTTTCCGGTTTTGGTTCGTTAAATTTTTGTAAACAAACTGAGTATGAAGGGAGATTTATTTTGAAAATTGTGCCCACAGCGAGTTGTTTTTTTTTCTGTCAGGTGGTATATTAACAATGGGCGACAATAACATTACCTGTCAAAAGCTTTTACTCTGCCCAGCAGTTTTTTGTTATTTCTACAATTGATAAGGACCTGTGTGTTGTTCTTGACGGACTGTGTAAGTACAGACAATGGTCCAGTGTTAAACTCCTCCTGTTCCCTCTGTGATAACTCTTCTGGAGTCATCTCACTCTTTGGTTTTGCCATTAAACCTCTAAAATGATAAAAGAAATAACATATTTAAAGATCATTCTTGCACTAAAGTATCACATGATGTATTATTCAGGTCTAGGATTTCATGATATTTATGGACTGTCAGTAAATTTATGGATAGTCTATAAATCTAAAGATTTTTCAGTCCATAAATTTACAGATCCTCAATGTTAAATTTGCTGTTTTTAGTTTTATACTAAAATCCGCAGCTTAAAACAAGTTGTTATATCGATTGTTCCTATTTACAAAGGTAATGAGATAAGTTTCATCTTTGTATGATGACTTTGAAATATTTGTTAAAAGTGAAAATTGAAAGTCATCAAATTGTTCTGAATCTTATCATACTGTTACATTAAATCATAAAATCAGTAAATTTATTCTTACTAACCTGCGGTTTTTAATTTTAATGCAACTTATTCTATTTTCGCATTTAATGTCTATAAATTTACAGTTAGAAAAATCTGTAAAATTATAGATGGTCCATAAATTTACAGATTGTCCGTAAATATCATGAAATCCTAGACCTGTTATTAGAACAGTTTTTCAATTTCCTTATTATAACGTAAATGACAATTCCATAACTCATATTGTCATGAAAAAAAAAACAAATGCTACTAATGAAAAAAATATAATTCTTAACAAATAGCATGGAACTCTGTATTATCGACATACTTAACATTTCCTCTATGTCTGCAATAAGTTCCATACTTCATATACCAGAAATTAAGAAAATGTGTGGAGCACTTAATAATAATAGTAATGACTTAATTTATAGAGTCTGTCCGCAACAAAATCCAAGCTAACCCTTATCCAAAACACGAACCCTATCCCTAGAAGTAATCTGGGCGTTTTGTTGAGAAACATAAATATTGAAAAAAAATATTGAATAAAATCATCAGACTGACTCTTAGTCTAGCAAAATGTGCTACAATATGGTAGTGGTTTCATTATCAAACACAAAATGGTCACTATTATGACAATAACGACATTATTTAACGCAGGGCAATTTGACTTGCTTGCAGTGGCAAGTGTGATACCAAGAAAAAATAGATGTCATAATCTAACTTTGGACTCAAATTAATTCGACCAATGTATATTTCAGGTCTCAGATCGTATCCAGATCATGCTCAAAATTTGCTACTGTTTAGCTTCACATGACAATTTGTCTACAATGTATGCAATATTTAGAAAATATCTATGGTATACTTTATTACTAAGAAAATACATAAATATTCGAATTGGGTACGAGGCTTCCGGTTTGCCGGCGTCATGAAACAAGCATTAATTTTCGGTTATCCTGCAGTTTAGTGGTCGAATATGATATGCATAGGATTAAAGTATGTTATATAAATATTATAAGAAACAATAAATAGCCTACGCCATCGTATATAGTGTGATGTAAACCGATTTGGATCGGCTCCCAAATATTAAGCTGAGCGCTGAAAACGTAAACAAAGCGAATCTAACGGTGTTTATAAACTTTTGTGATTGTAAAAATAGACACAGACATAACACCACTAAATGTTATCCAAAAAGGCTCTGAAGTACTAACATATCACATGATACAGCAAATGTACAAACTTCACACACAAAAAGATGCAAGAGGACGTTTATAACAAAAGAGAACAGATACAAAAATATTAATAATTTCCATTTTAATGTAGAAAGTCTAACCTGGTACATTGACTGCAAACAAAACATTCTTATACTCAGTATGGTACATTGACTGCAAACAAAGTTGCGCAGTACTGAATCTGTTTCTATATTTTTGTAAAGCTGCATGTTCGTTGTTTCTTCCTCGATCTTTCTCATTTTTGAAAGCATTTTGTTCTTAAGCCTTATCAAAGATTCATAATTTTTTTATAAGAAAAAAATTTCTAAAACAGAAAAACCACAAATATATAATTTTATATTTAGCTCCGTGGAAAAACAAAAGCCATGATTTTTGAAAAAGGCCGCCATACTAAATTTGATTTTTTATCTTTATAAGAATCATATAGAACATAGAATTAGTAGATTCTTTTAAATATTTGGGCGTCCATCTATATAAAAATGGCAACTGGAACAGAACACAAAAAGCGAATAGCTAGCCCAGCACGGTTCGTACTCATTAGTTAATTTATTCATTGTTTTTAACCAACTTGATTTATCGGTGTCCAAACAATGTGACTTATTCGATTCATTGGTAGCTTCTACGTAAAATTACGCGGCTGAAATTTAGGACCATCGATCATGTCCGACCTGGTGATGAACTTATATTCACTCCAAATTCTGTAGAAAGGTATTATCTGTCAAACGCTCTACAAATTTAGACGCTCTTTACGGCGAAATAGCTAGGATCCCGATGAGCATTCATAGACAAATAATAATGGTAAAATATTGGATAAAATTATTGTCATGTAAGAAAGGATCGGTTTTTTTTGAAAACCTATCACATACTTAAAGTCGATGTTGAAGGAAACAACACATATAATAAATGTAATTGGGCTTATCAAATTAAAACTATATTTGATAAATGCAGACTTTCGTGTGTTTGGCAAAACCAATTTAGCATGTTAATTGACTACACTATTATTAAACAACGCATATTAGATATTTATTATCAAAGTTGGTATTATTCTATCAATAATTCTAGACGTCTAGATACATACAGTTAGACTATAAAATATTAATTTGAATTTGAAAGTTATCTTGACTATATTAAGAACAAAAGATTTCCAAAATTTCGCGTGTACTCGTCCAAATATAGAATTGTGTTGTTCCGTTATGTATCAAATATGTAATACATACACTGATGGCGGTATAGCATTGAGAATATTAATATTTTACGGTTACTGGCTATAGTTTTTATTCCATTCAGACTTTATCAGTGTTTTGATTTTTAATATTGTCCATCAATTTCATTGAATTTAATAATGGATATGGAACACGCATCCACATATGGATCGCAATATTCATTTTGACTATCATCCTTGTATTCTTTTCATCATTATAGATAAATATTGTGTGATGTTTTTAACTTATTTTCAGTCATTTTCTATATCCTCACGTTGAATGTTTGACATACATAATTCCACAACAACCATTTTTTTTTTTAAAAGCTGCATGAAATAACAATGCATTAGTTGGTAATTATAAACGACCTTTATAAGGTTCGAAGAGCATTTCTATTTTTTATAATAATAGTTCATAGGAGTATTTAACAAAAAATAACTCAATATTGTAAAACTTACCGTCCATTATCGTCATAATATAGGGGAAATAAACCAACATATGCTTTACCGGAAACCAACATATCTTTTAACCGTGAACCATATGAAGCTTATTCCCCGTGTAAATATTTCAAATGGACTTGTACATCTTTCAATCTGGACAATCATTTTAAGAGAGAGTTTTACAGTAAGTACCGACTGAAAATCATGATCAGATGACGCGGATGTACTGGCAGATCTTGGTCTGCACTGGTGCCATTAGCAGAAACAGTTGCGCTCATCCGGGTAAGGATTCAGCAATGAACTAAAATCATAATCTTACCTGTTCTGAAAACCACATATGTATTACGTTTATTCAGGAATATTGTATAACATTTTTATAATCCCTGGTCTAACTCAACACACACGTGCTACTAAATATGGTTAATAAAAATATTGTCAACAAGAAAACTAAACTAAAATAATTCTCATCGTTTTATTATTGCACGTTATTTAAGTATTGCACAAAACTCACTGATAAAGTGTTAATAAATATGGACATGGTTACAATAATTGTATGTTATTTTAGTGTAAAGAATCTATGTAGTCATTACAAATATTAACTCCAACAACTTCAATGTACAATTAATGTATATACATGTATATATATATATGATAGCACCAGAAGCGAGGCACACGTTTGGCCATTATATGCGATATAAATTATAAAACAAAAACATTTTTTATAAAATTATGCAGTTAATTTTGTTCTTATGTAACGGCATCAAGAGTTACTGCCCGTTTCTTCTTGTAGTAAATTTCCATCTCATCGTTGTCGTCATCTGGGTTGATTTCTCCTTCAAACATTTGTTGCAGCAGAACTTCAACCTTCTTTCGACCTAAATAAAGGGAGACAAATATGGTTTATTGGCCTGGTTCAATACTGGTGGCAAAGGATGATTACTTTTTGCTCCAGCAGGGTAAAGGCTAAGTAAAATGAGATTTTTCTAAATACAGTTTTGTATATTGTACATGTAGATACTTCTTATTAAATAATTAATGAATGGTTACATTTGAACATACATGTATTTCATACCAGCAAATATACTGTACCATAATTATTTTATGATGACAACTTACGGTCGGTATGATTGCGCGTATGAAGATAAAATACTTAAAAAAGTAAGGAGCTCGTGAAAATTGTCTGACTTCTTACATTATTTACTCTTTTTTTTTACTTTTTATTCGCATTTTCGCTGATTGTGTAATTGTGTGAAAATATCATTATGATTGCACAATACAAGAAAGTAAATAATTATAAGCGACAAAAGGCCTCACTCTTTTTCTTGAGATGGAATCTTAGTCCTCTCTCATTACTAACATCTGGTATACTGTCAGTATCGCTCTCCGAGTCTTCTGTCGAATCATCTTGAGCACCAGGTACAGGAGGGGTACGGTCCACTTCTTGCTCGTTCGAAACTAGCTCCATCTGATCTATATCTGGTGCACCTTTCCGCTTCTTAGATCTGCAAAAACAGAAATACTTATCACTACTCTATTGATAAGATGCATTGTAAATACATGTAGGATAAAAGCTGTGATAAGTTTAGATTCTTAGCATTTATCGTCACCTTATTGCAGTAACAGGTTAACTCTTTATATAATTCAACAGGAGTTAACCCGTTATTCACCAAGGCGACATTATAAGCGTTTCTGTAGCTTTATGTAGTGTCTAATGTATTAATATGTAAAAAAAAACTTTGTATACTAGTATACTGGAAATGCTTAAACACTCATGTCTTTAGTCCAAGAGGCATACATTTGACATTGACAGTTAAAACTTATGGCAAGTAAATTTTAATTAACATTTCTATAACTCAAAATAAATAAACTTGAATCTCGGTAGTTATTTAGGTAACTATTAAGGTCGTCAAATGCAAGTACTCGACATAATTTAGCTGACAAGCTGTATTTGGCAACAACATGTTGTAAAAGTTCATATGAAAAGTAATATCATCACAATAAGGCATGAATGTTATAAAATCCCCCAAATAAAACTGTTTAAAAATAGCACATACTGGCCAATGCCAAGTCCCAATTCTTTTATTTTCGATTCAACGGCTGATTCGAATCTTCCAGTTTTTTGCAGCGAATACTCAAGGATAAATGCTTCGAGGATGAATGCGACGAAAATGCTGTAAAAAAGAGCAATATTTATTATACACTTATAAATGAAATATTGATGAAATAAAATGTGTATTTTCATTTTCTGTATTGTGACTGTAAAAATTTTTCACTGCAGTGAAACTTTTTTTCATATTTTCACTGGTGTCTTGCAGGACTACTTTCATCTAAATCCAGCCAAAACACAAAATTTCAAGGGAAGTCTTTCAAATTGTAATGTGAGAAAAAAAGAAAAATGTATATAATAAACAGAAAATTCAAGTTTTTTCTATAAATACAGGATTTATTTTCATCTTCTGATATATGTGAATATCCTTTATATATTTATTTTAAAAATCAATATACTTAGTTAAAACTTAAAAAATGTACCCTAGAACACTCAGAACAGTATACATTAGATGAACTATCATAAGTTGGTTAACAATTAAGAACTAGAAAAATAAAAAGATAATTTTATCTAATATTAGCTTTGTTTGCATTTTTTACCAAATGACTAACACATGTCGTGTTGTGATAATACTAAAAACACAATCTTACTTCAAAACAATGATGACACAGGACATGTGAAATATAAAGAAGTATAGCCTAGCAGCTTTGTTGGTGACAAACACAAATCCGGACGAGAGAAGTGGATAGAGGTTAAGAAAAAATATATTGTTCTAATTTATACAACGTTGGTACATTAGCTGATATTACCCGAAAGAATAGGTCTAGAGCAAGCACAGATAAAATGAGATTTTACAGTTCCATAAACTAGATTATAATTTAATAAAATCAGGTTCGAATGAGTCGCATTAAAAGCTACGATTTGCACAATATTTGATACAGTTATTTATGTTTCAAAACTAAATAACTATTTTCAGTCACAATGTTTTAAGTTGCGTTAAATTAAATCGGTGCTATAATTATAAACTTTTATTATACTGTCTACAATTACGTTAATTACACAGCTACGTAATAATTAGTGAAAAATGGTGAAAAAAGGATATCATGCCACTGGTTGACCACGGTCAGTTCAAACAAAATGACAAAAGCCTTTAGTATATCGTTGAAATTATTGTTGCAGTAATGATTACGGTAGAATGCCGTGCCGTTCAACTTCGGATTACCACAGAACATATCACTTGGATTTGTCTCCTCGTAACCATGGTAAGTAATCAAACCGTGGAAAATCTCCATGCCAACTATTGCAAACATGTAATAAAGCACCTGGAATAAAATCCCCATCGAAAAAAGAAGTACAATGTATGTAAATATACTGTAATGATATACCTAACATTAAATAAAGTACGTTTTGTCTTTATACAGTAAGAATATACAATATTCACGAAAATATGTATCAAATTAAAAGGATTCACGTTTATTAGTAAATTATTGTAAATTATTGTAGAATTATTACAAATTGTTTTAAACCATTATTGGTTTAAAATGTGAAAGCTGAAAGCTATTAAATTTTCAACTTTTGTACCAAATATTAAATTATGTTTAATTTTCTAAATGACTTCAAACAATACTTACAAATAGAACGCCGCCATATGTTGCCATAGAAGGACCAATATTCATTATAGTCATCAAAATAACTTTAAATCTAGAATAAAAACATATTTGTTATTATAAATTAGAAAAATCAAAATTTATCTAAATGATTCACATGGAAAGATGTTTATTTTGCTTCTTTTATTTGGTTTACTTTAATTTGATATCTGTTGTTTTGGTGGTTAAGGGGACCGAGGAAATGTATACCAAATCATTGTTTTATGCTCAAAACGAGAGTGTAGAAGATATATTCACTTTCTGATGAAAAACAATGACTAAACGTAAAGATACAGATTTAATGCGTTACCTTTGAATGCTTACAAAAATCTTAATCAAACGCATGACTCTGAGAACCAAAAGAAGGTCCAACGTACTTAATTCTTCACCACCTGCAAAATAATAATATTCCTTCAATATCTTTCTAGCCTACAATGTAGCAGATAGGAGCAGATTACATATCGTTAACAGAGGAAGTAAATCAGTAACGAATTTTATGATAATAATACTATCCTTATTTAATATTTCTATAACGATACATTACTGTTTTTCCATGCGTTTGGTAGATATTTGCATATTAATATAGCAATCGCTCTCTTTTTTCTAGTCTGGGATTCAGGCGTTGATATATTTTGCTTATTCATAACGTACGCGCTATTTCGTACTCGTTCGTGTTTTTGATAGTATCAACTTGCCAAACAGAAGCACATACAAAATCGACAGACTGGAACCCAGGCTTACTTTTTTCTATTAATCATGTTGAAATATAATGGAAAGCATTTAAGTGCTGATTCCGAAAAAAATCTGATACAAAAGTTTGCAAGAAACATGAATTAAACTCAGTTAATGTTAACAACGACAATCGACCTTTTCCAGATCCGGATTCAACAGCAGTTGCTATGACGGCACCAAAAATGACCACAAAGTCGAATCTGCAAACGAAAACATTTGTGATTATATATGTGCATGTAAAACAAGGATGTGAGTCACGCTATTGTTTAGTCCACTCTTTATTTCTAAATTATTTTCTAGTAAGCCTAATAAAAATTCTTGATTGTAAATGAAATAAAAATGCATGCATGCTAAGTATTTTGATCAAAAATGCTAATTTGATGATTAATAGGTTCTTAAATTAAATGAAAATCATTATAATTATGGTAATTAAATTTATATCTAGAATCTTGAACGAAACGATGTTGAGTGTATGTTCCGAAACTAGAAAGAAATAAAATGTTAATTTATTGTATAAGAAAGACATAAAGTATAAATTTAATTCACAAAAAAAATAATGCTAATTAAATGTAACCTAAGTAATCTATAAACGATTAAAATACTAATTTGATGTACATAATCTAGAAATGAACAAAAAATAAAATGTAATGAAATGCTAATTAAATGTTGGTGAATGATCTGGAAAGAAATAAAATGCTAATCTGATGCATGTAAAGAAAATCTAGAAAAAAATAAAATGTTAAAAGTATGTACGTAAGGAATCTAAATATAAGAAAAAGTAACTTAATGGCCATAGAAAATTAAAAAATTCAATGTAGATAAAATACAAATATATTTGTATACAAACAATATAGAAATAAATAAAATATGAAATTAATGAACATAAAGAATTTCAAGTAAAATGATATGCCTATCTTATGTGCATACAGAATGTGGGAAGAGATAAGATGCTAATCTAATGTATACAAAGAACATATAACATAGATAAAATACTAATTTAATGTATATAAAGAAGCTTTAAAAAAAGCTTATTGAGCACACAACCTGACTAATGTTCAGATCTACTTATTTCTTATATCCTAATGGGTAGCGTTATTTAGGAGCTGAATTTAATCAGATTGTTGAGCAAATTACTTTGTACTATGTATTTTACTTGTGAGCAAAATTTCACTTATGCAATATAATACAACATATGATTTTGAAGTAAAGTTCGCTTATAGACCAAAGAAATGACTATGGAAGGTCCAAATGTCACTTACATGTTCCATGCTCTACGAAAGAATTCTTTACTGTATTTGACTTGCGAGCAGCATTCCACTAATGCAATATTACTCGGCAGGAAAGTTCGTTTATAGACTAAGGAAATGTCTACGAAAGGTACAAATGCCACTTACATGTTCCAGACTCGACGAAAGAATTCTTTAGGTCCATAGACGTACATTTTCATGACGATTTCAAACATGAAGATTGATAAGAAGAACCAATCTGATTCGTCTATATCGAATCCAATAAACCAAGCGTTAAGAAATATCATAAAGTCAAAGAATATCCTGAAGAATCTACAAAAGATAAAGAAAAAGATGTCTCTTATGTTTTACAGTATACACAGGCACAAAAAGTTACTTACAATCATTGGCCTAGTTGTTCAAAACTTTTGTTAAATATTAGATAATGAAATAATTGTTAAATTAACAAAAGATTGTTAATTTCTTCGTAAGCAATCCTGTTGTTCAAACATTGTTAACATTACAATTATGTGAAATTAACAAATTGTTATTTTTTGTTTGTTAGATATCTTTGTTAATAGCTTTTTCCTGTCCCTACTTAATACAGGAACGCAACGGGCATGTACAAGGAATGAATCAAAATAACCCCTCGGGGAAAATGTTAACTGTTACCCACAAACCTATGTGTTACTTATTTATTACTATTTTGAAAGAATTTGCTATATTTAATCTTATTTATGTTTATATTATTTTGTATAAGATAGCTTTAACAGTATAATAGTTACATTATTTTGAATCATCCCTCGAATATAGGAATTTGAACAATTTACAGACGAACTTTCTTTTAAAACAGTATGAAACTTTTCAGTACATATCATTTAAACATTAAAATACTTTCAAATACAATCAAAGTTATATTAATACATTTTCGATTTTATTAGTTTTTGTTGTTTTCGTAAACCTACAAAAATGCGACTGGAAATAATGCAAACACGAGTACTATATCAAAAAGAATATTTTCATTGTGTTTTACGCCAGTGACATTTCTCTTCTTTTGTTTCATTCAAACTTCTCCCAAGAATTTAACCTCTTTGTAATAAATTATTTCATTTTTTTCAAGTACGATGTATTTTGTAAATCATTATAGCCAAGTTTTGGGATTTTTTTTTCAATAGACGAAAAATTGTGCTGCTGCTATGCTCAGCACATCTGTACAAGTTTAGTGATACTCTTGAATATAGTTCTAGATTGTAAAGAGTGAAAACATAACTAACTTGTGTCTAACACAGATTTTGATCACGTTACTGACTTTGTGATTATATATATCTGGGATCTTCTTCTCTAGAAAGGTTTGTCTCTCCTGCACCTCTGACACGGGTACTTGCAACAAATTTATAAGGTTTAGAAAGTCTCTCTTATCTGGAAATGAAAGTGAAAGTTCTGAAAACGGAGTATCCTCTAGTGAATAAAGTAAGCAATGAAAGTGATGATCTGAACAAGGTGAAATCATTGAAGAGCAAAGCGATGAAAGAGTGATTTCCTATGATTTTATATATTTATAGGAGAAGTATCTTATGGACAGTAAAGCTAAAGAAGTAATAAACCTAAAGCAAAATAAGATAGCCCTGGTGGACAACATTGGGAGCAATGATCCTTATATGCAAAAAAAATCCTAAAGAGCAAAGCAAGAAAAACAAAGGAAACTATTCAGAAATTAAGCCGACATACATGTAGTGTTAACGAGGTAAAAAGTTAAAGTAATGATCAAAAAGAATTTCCTGAAAGTGGCAAAGAAATCTCAAGTTAAAAGGGTATGATATGATAAATATCAGTCTATACAAGATAGTTATTATACATAGAATCCGATAAGTTAATTATAATATTGATATCTCTCTAAAACTAATTAACAAACTGTTTAAACTCACAAGAAAAGTAAATAATTTTTAAAAACATCATTATTTTTTGCGACGAAACCAAAACAACTGATAACAAATAAACAAAAGCGGCTAATGGTAGATAATCTACAGCCGCTCAGGTCACATTTTTCTGATATATTGAATATGGCACACAGCCTAGCACCGACTGAAACATAACTATCCTAAAAGGAGCATAACAAGCTAAGATTTGAAATTCTTACATGCATCAATTGGAGAACTTTAAACGGAAAAATATGGTAAAGATAATGAAGAAATATGCTCAGAATTAAATTGAAAATTGATATTTAGTGCGATTCATAACACGATTTAAGTTTTAAGCATTACATTATTAGCTAATTTTGCACAACATAAATTGTTATTCTTTAATGACGAAGTGGTATTTTTCACACAATTTACTGGTATAGATCCACATCTAATGATATGAATTTTTTTAATACATGTATTTCCAACCTCGTCATGTCAAAAAACCCAGAATGATCTCGGAACCAAAGACACAGAATCGATGATCAGTAGAAGCATACAAATGAATACAATACTCAAATATGATAACGCCGATAGTTTCAGTCACCACAAAACCATCCGATTTTGTTTATTTTTACGATAGGCTAACAATCAGGGCTGGGCTAATAATAAGGAAATAAATTATGAAAAAAATGCACATATACTATCTACACATACTTATATGGCCTTTCCCATCTTTATCCAGAATGACCATCAGTAGTTCTATCCTTTCTAAACTTTTATTTGGAAGGACACGCCTCATTATTGTTGTCCACAATGTTTTGGTCATTATTTCTTCACCATTTCTCGTCACGTTAAGGATCTTGAACGCTTGGCGTAGTTTCCTTCTTTTACCAAATACTGCATCGCGAATTTCATTCTAAGTAAATTGATGAAAAATTATTATTAAATACACATAATTTGTTTTACAGGACTTTGATTCTAAAATAAAAATAAACGAAATGTATGTTTAGAAACCTTAGATATAGATTGATTTAATCTTCGATCATTTTTACATTGGTTGTACAGATTAATAGAAATTGATTTTAGAAAGAGAAAAAAACATAGTAAAGGTCGAGACATTTAAAAAGGAAATGTATATGAGATTGTCATCAGATAAAATATATCACAGACCGTTTTAACTTTTAAGGTATCAAATAAAAACAGCTAGGAAAATAACATATTTTTTAAAAAAGTAAATAATGTTTAGTTGTAATTTTAACATAAGCTTTAGAATTTCGTAGTGCTTCCACGAGTTTATGTAGCTAACCTTTAAGTTGTTCCTGTAGTTATTATAGATAGCAGCTAGAACAATGCTCATGAACACGTACAGACAGATGATCAAGTACACGCCAAAGTACAAAGCAAACCAATTGTTCTCATCATAGGCTGGCATCCTGCCAATAGAAATATATCCTTAAACATGTTGATTTTTTATAATCGCTGATTTTTTTTTTCATGCAGAACTTGCATATTTGGAACTGACCATGATCTCATCCATTTCTTTTGAGAGATTAAAAGTTAGTCAGTCAACAGTATAGAGCCTGGTGAGATATGATCGTGTAATATAATACAGCGCTATTTGTAATAGTATTATCTGTCAATTGAACATTGCGGTTAAGATCGGAATACCCGTCCAGAGGGTATCCGAGGTTTGCCGAGTAACCGTATCTGACAAACGGCAGAAGTATTCAACATTGGTTCCTAAATTCTCGGCATTCAAATTGTTTTGTTTTTATTTAATTATTTTTGTTAGTTTGTTTGACTTTTTTTTTGGCTTTTCTTTTTTTCTTTTTTTTTTTTTTTTTTTTTTTGGGGGGTGGGGGTCATTTTAGCTTTGAAGGTATTTTCTAACTAAATTTAGAACTCTTATAGGAAACTTAATCCTGTTGCAAATTTTCATAAATAAGACTAAGGAAAAAAGCAATCCATTTGATATCTTACGTGTTTTATGCAAAATAGTCTAGATAAGTCACTGCACTAAGTACACTTGATTATGTTTTCTTTATATTATTGTTTTAGAATACTTCCTCTGCATTCTGCTTTAACCCTTACCATGCTAAATTTCTTAAATGGATTGTCCATCTTTTTGTCTGGACAAAACCATTCATCATTTTAGGGAAATGTTCATAATATGTAACGTTATTGGATGAATGGCGAACAGTTCAGACCATGATCAGACGGCATGGGCCTTGGACTGCACTGGCCGCATTGGAAGATTTACTCATCAGAAGCAGACGAAGAGTTAATTCATTTTTTTCCTAATAAACAGTATATATACTAGAGTTAATTAATTCATATATAATAAACAGTATATACTAGAGTTAAATCATTTATATCTTATAAACAGTATATACTAGTACTAGAGTTAAGTGGTTTATATCTATTAAACAGTATATACAAGAAAACGTGCTTACATGATGTCAGGATTATTTGCTGTTGTCACAAGTACATAAAGGTCCCAAATGCTGTCAAAGTAGTTTTTGAAGTACTCTGTGCCATCGGGGTAGGTCAAACTTTGCCTAAAAAATAAATAATATATGTATAGTTCAGATAATAGCATAACGAAATTCAAAAATTGCTAATTTATTTTATGTGAAATTTTGTTTCTTGAACGTTTTACAATAAAATTGATTCAGATTCAGAGTTAAAGACAACGTGTACGAGTTGTGCATTCTAGAGCGAATTTTTTAAAAGCTCTCTTTCTACTTATGAATACGTATAATATGATAAAAGGAAATAGTTATAGGAAGAAAAGCGGAATCCCTGATGGACGCCCAAAAACTCCAGATTTGAAAATGTTGCAGGCTCGGTTTGATTCAGCCTGTTCATGGACAGTAGTTGAAAGTGCAAGCTATACCCCACGCCCCCTAGCACCGGCTACTATCAGATAAAGATTACGGCAAGGAAATTAGTCTTTGAAGACTGGTAATAGCTAGCCAATAAAACCATTTCAAAATGTGTAATCAAGGATTATACTTTTTATAAGAAATAACCATGATCAGTTGTTGAACTGATACTTCGTTACAATATTAATTTACATTTTAAATCATTCATATTATGATCTATTACTGTTATTATTTGAGTTCAATTGTGAAGGAAGTATGTTACTGATTTGGACTACTCGCGAGACCGATCCCTGAAACTATTGTCGTCATAATTATGATGAAGCATATTTCGTCGTATGGGTAAACAATCCAAACAAATATCAATATTTTGTCATTACATTGCATACTTACCTTCTACCAAAGAGTTTCAGACCAAGAAGAGCAAACAAGAAAACACTCATCATGAACAAGATGAGGACATTCAGAATCTCCGGAACAGTTCGTCTAATATTCCTGAAAGCCCTACGTATCTGTACCAGAACAAATAAACTTAAATAAAATCAGTTATTTTTCTATAAGATTAAAAAACTAATAATTTGTATAAAAATATTCTTTGGGTATAAAAATAGACCTATGTATGAATACTGCTTCAAAATTGTTTCTTCAAATTTTATTTGCGACTATTTAATTATTGCAACGGTCAATAAAAAGTCTAAATTACAGCTAAATTAAAAGTTTAAAGTTTTGCATACTAAATATGTAAAAAAAAACAATCGTCATATTATTTCCGGCTACAGTTGAACGTACTTTGTAAAAAATATTAAAAGCATGTATATTTTTAATCTAATCATACCGTCACAGTATTTCAGTTTTTAAACTGGAAGAAACACACAAAGCTTGCTGTGAAATAAAGTTACCTGACGACCATCAGAGAAATTTATAATGAGCATTGATCGAAGAGGTCTGGACCATCTGACTGGATTGGAATCCGGTGCTTGGTTCACCCATATCACATAGCAAATCATGTCTAGTATAGTCAACTGTAAATATCACATGGCAAATCATGTCTAGTATAGTCAACTGTAAATATCACGTAGAAAACCATGTCTAGTATAGTCAACTGTAAATATCGCATAGTAAATCATGCCTTGTATAGTCAACTGTAAATATCATATAGCAAATCATGTCTAGTATAATCAACTGTAAATATCATATAGCAAATCATGTCTAGTATAATCAACTGTAAATATCACATAGCAAATCATGTCTAATATAGTCAACTGTAAATATCACATAGCAAATCATGGCTAGTATAGTCAACTTAAAATATCACATAGCAAATCATGTCTAATATAGTCAACTGTAAATATCACATAGCAAATCATGTCTAGTATAGTCAACTGTAAATATCACATAGCAAATCATGTCTAGTATAGTCAACTGTAAATATCACATAGCAAATCATGTCTAGTATAGTCAACTGTAAAATATCACATAGCAAACCATGTCTAGTATAGTCAACTTAAAATATCGCATAGCAAATCATGTCTAGTATAGTCAACTGTAAATATCACATAGCAAATCATGTCTAGTATAGTCAACTGTATATATCGCATAGCAAATCATGTCTAGTTTAGTCAACTGTAAAATATCACATAGAAAACCATGTCTAGTATAGTCAACTTAAAATATCGCATAGCAAATCATGTCTAGTATAGTCAACTGTAAAATATCACATAACAAATCATGTCTAGTATAGTCAACTTAATATATCGCATAGAAAATCATGTCTAGTATAGTCAACTGTAAATATCACATAGCAAATCATGTCTAATATAGTCAACTGTAAATATCACATAACAAATCATGTCTAGTATAGTCAACTGTAAATCACATAACAAATCATGTCTAGTATAGTCAACTGTAAATATCACATAACAAATCATGTCTAGTATAGTCAACTGTGAATATCACATAGCAAATCATGTCTAGTATAGTCAACTGTAAAATATCACATAGCAAACCATGTCTAGTATAGTCAACTTAAAATATCGCATAGCAAATCATGTCTAGTATAGTCAACTGTAAATATCACATAACAAATCATGTCTAGTATAGTCAACTGTGAATATCACATAGAAAATCATGTCTAGTATAGTCAACTGTAAAATATCACATAGCAAACCATGTCTAGTATAGTCAACTTAAAATATCGCATAGCAAATCATGTCTAGAATAGTTAACTGTAAATACGAGGGATATTCAAATATGAATGCAACTGGGTCAATTTTCAGAAGTGCTTAACAAACAATGCCAAAATTATTATCTCAATCCTTCAAAATACTCACCACCATGTGATATACAAAGTTTTAGTCTTTTAATGGTAAACATACCATAATGATAAAGTAATGGAAAACTTACGCGATGGTAAATTTACTTTCCTTATAAAGTATTGGCAAATTTACTTTTATAATAAAGTTATGGTAAACTTACTATAATGATTAAGTAATGGTAAACTTACTATAATGATATAATGATAACGTAATGGTAAACTTGCTACAATGATAAAGTAATGGTAAACTTACTATAATGATAAAGTAATGGAAAACCTATATATTATAATGATAAAGTAATGGTAAACTTACTATAATGATAAAGTAATGGTAAACTTCTATATTATAATGATAAAGTAATGGTAAACTTACTTTAATGATAAGGTAATGGTAAAATTATATATTATAATGATAAAGTAATGGTAAACACTTATATATTATAATGATAAAGTTTTGGTAAACTTATATATTATAACGATAAAGTAATGGTAAACTTGTTATATTGATAAAGTAATGGTAAACTTACTATAATGATTAAGTAATGGTAAACTTACTATAAGGATAAAGTAATGGTAAACTTGCTACAATGATAAAGTAATGGTAAACTTACTATAATGATAAAGTAATGGAAACCTATATTATAATGATAAAGTAATGGTAAACTTACTATAATGATAAAGTAATGGTAAACTTACTATAATGATAAAGTGATGGTAAACTTATATATTATAATGATAAAGTAATGGTAAACTTATATATTATAATGATAAAGTAATGGTAAACTTACTATAATGATAAAGTAATGGTAAATGTATATATTATAATGATAAAGTAATGATAAACTTGCTATAATGATAAAGTAATGGTAAACTTACTATAATGATAAAGTACTGGTAAACTTGCTATAATGATAAAGTAATGGTAAACTTACTATAACGATAAAGTAATGGTAAACTTACTATAACGATAAAGTAATGGTAATCTTACTATAATGAAAACGTAATAGAAACTTACTATAATGATACCTATGACCATAATGTTTTTGGTATCTCTCCAAAATATACTCGGAATACTGAAGTAAGCACAATGTATTACTCTGGCGATGAATAAAATTAAGCACGATATCTCGATGAGCATTGTCCCCTAAAATGAAAAATAAGAAATTGAATTGAACGGTGGAAAACATTTATGAAAAGAACGTGTAGTCTCTTGCGTTATTGAATATGTATTACTAAAACAAGCCAAATTCCGAATTATAGCTAGAAATAAAAGGGGGTCAGATAAGGACGGTATATCCCACCTTAGCGATTACATGTAGTACCGTTAAGACAGAAATTAGGAAAAGAAAAAAAAGCGGGGGATTGGGTTTAATCTTCAAGTTTATTTAATTTTTGTAATATAATTATAACAATTGTGTATAAATATATTCAAGTAATTCTTACCCAATATGGGAGTTCCCATCCTTTCCTCGTCGGTGCTTCAAATAGTGCCAACGAAAGATTTAGAAGTATACATAAATAAAGTCCCCATCGGAAAAACCACTTGTGATATATAATGTAAGACCTGTTTGCACAAACCAAAAATAAAGTTATGAAAATGAAAAGCGGTATATTTATTGTATTATTTTACGTACTTAATAATATGTGTTCAATTAAGAAATATATATTTTGATTTTTTTGTTTTTGTTAGTAAGGACATTGTAAATTAAGCAACATTTAAGATGTAAACAAGTAACTCTTAAATGTCTGTGAGTTAACATATTTTATCCCTTAAATAAGTATTTTTATTCTTATGAAATTAATTAATTTGAAAAAAAAACTGACGTAAATTCTTACCTTACATGTGTAGGATCGGTTTTGTAAGTAAAGTTTCTACCAGTTTCCGCATCTTTGATAAGTGTTTCAGCAAGGATCAAATCCTAATTTTGTAGAAACAGACATGGTTAAGCGCCGTCATTTTGTTACATTTAATGTCATAATGCACTTATGGAAATAAGTACTTATTTATGTATTTATGTAAAGAGAAAAGATCTATATCAAATTAAGTAGAAATGTAACATGTTTAATTTAAATATAAGAAAAGCGTTCTTTTTTTCTTGTGTGTGTGTGTGGGGGGGGGGGTTGTCGCATTTTTGTTGTAATTGTTGTTTGTGTTGTTGTTGTTTTTTATTGTTGTTTTTTTTGTTGTTGCTTTTTTTCGTTTTCGGTGGCTTTAAGGTCACTCCTGTTACAAAACTTAAAAGTATCTACTCATATCTATCATATTTTTAAATGGCATGGTTTTAACGTACATTTTTATTGATGTTTAAATTATCTATATACAGTGCACGGCAGCTGTTATCTTAATTTTGTTCAAATAAGGAAATTGTATTGTATTTAAATTATCATTATTATTATTATTTGACATGTTATATGACCGCGTAAACGTTTTTTATCAATATATCCCTCGCCTAGCCGCTCGGGTTATATAATTTAACAGTCGTTTATTCTTAATTGTCCATATAACCTTTCAAAAAAATCTTTGTAACTAAAAATATAGTCATCTAAGCACAATGGCATATAGAAGTTATGTGATTTATTTCCATTTAAATTACACTAGAGACGATTTCACTCAATGCCCATAGACTATCTCAAGTGCATTTATGTTAAGAGAGTGACTTGTACGAGGTCATTAGCAGTATCGTAAAGATTATAGGGACCGACTAAAACTTATACGTTCAATGGTACTCACTATTGTATTAGTTTAAAGCAGCTTGCCTCCAGATTTGCGATATTTTTTGTGAATATTGTTTTCATGAGTAAAAATGTTTTCTAGTATACAAATTAAGCGATTTAACAAAACAAATGTGCTTCGTACCCACGGATATTATATGTAACTTCCCCGTTATGAGGCCTAAAGGGTAACAATTTGTTAATACGAGTAAAATAGTAAATTCTGTCATGTTTTAAGGAAAACATTCTAAGTTTCGCCTAAATTGAGAATAAATGTATTTATACAAATCTGAAGGTTTATTATGCTAATCTGGAGGCGTGTCGCTTTAAGAATATACTTATTGTTTCTCTTTCTTATTTGTAATACACCAGACCATGATGTGATTTTTGATTGGCTATACTGTACAGTTTTGTAAAATTTCATTTATTTTGTTTATATGGTTATATACTTTACCTCTTCTGTTAAATGCTGTAAGTCCTCTTCTTTACTCGGGTGTCGTTTGCGATAAGATGATGGACTGCTAGATGGTGTTTCTATTTTGACAATTTGCACTGTTGATGAATTTTCTTTCCTCGCTGAAGCGGGCGACGATGTTGGAGTTGTTGATTTGTGTACATCGTTTCCGAGTTTAAGTCGCTCTTTTGACACTTTTGCCGGCGGTGGAATTTTAAGCGTTTCAACACTTATATTGTTTGAAGTATTACCCACCGAAAGAGTGTTTGCCTCGGCCAATGTCTGAGCATTTTTGGACGGAACGCCGTCATGAATCACATTTTCAGTCGACGATTCGTCGTCAACTACGTCTATAACTATCACAGGGTTGGAATCCGCCGACGATGACATTCCAAGGCATTTATATGTTTCCTTTTAACTTAAACACATTATTGTTAAACTAATTAAATTTTAATCCTTAATCACACATTTTACATTTATAGATATTTTTTCCTATACTATTTAATTATTGGATATGCATCTTTATTTTAGAAAAAATAACCGTCACAGAAATAACCAGTTTCAGCGATTTAATATTAACTGAACTTCGAATCCATGTAATAAGGAGGCGTGTACCACATACATTGGGGATAAACTCAAGATTACGGTATCTTTGTATTAGTACAATACTAAAATTTATACCCACACATCTTGTGGTTATCACTACAATAAGATTAGAAACTGTTATTTACATACGGCTAGCCTTTATCAAGATAAATTGTATATGCAAATGTTTAAAAATCATTTAAACTTATGACAATTTTAACTTTGCATGCTGCTTAAAGCTGATGATGCGGGTGTGTACGGTAGCAAATCAACACGATTGTCGATTACCTCGAAGAATCCACTGAGTTTTTTTTTACATGACTGGGACGGGATTGGAAATATTTTTTCTGAGATTATTTTACCATTTAATGAAGTAAATAAGTGGCGGCGTGGACGAGTTGCTAACTCGTCGGACTAGTAGCCGCATGGGTTCAAACCCTGTCAGGGACAAGTCGTTGTTTTCTTGAGCAAGAAACTTACACTCATTGCTCAATCGTACTGGTTGGTTCCAGGAACGGATTCGAAAGTGTGTCTACAATCATATTGCTTCCTACACAATCAAGCTTAAATAAATTATGTATAAACCCAAGTTGTGGGCAAATTTTCCGAATAATAATAATTATTATTTATTATTATTTATTATAATGATATTATTATTATTATTATTAATGTAACGATTTGTTGTTGTGGATTAGCGTCCAGCTAGGTCTAGCAAATATTTTTAAGTTTTTCAAGGTCAGCAAAACACAATAGTTTAATTTCATCTTTTCAAAGAAAATGTAACATTCTTAATACGTTTGTTTAATATGAATTCGCCATGTTATTTCATAATGTCAACATTGCCTGTAACAAAGATATGTATTTGTTTAAATTGAGACTTAAACTATTCCCGTGTCTGTGATCTTTTGTCCCCACACCTCCTTCTATAGATTTGAACCATTATAGCTACTGAATCTGATGTTACATCTCACATGAAGCGTTAATTAAGTCAATTGTTTGTCATGTGGATGGGCAGTATGATGGTTTTCTATTCGATTCTTGATTTTCTTGTTAAAACATTGCTGCTCCTGTTTTTTCGCCCATCTTATTGAATATTGTGGTGAGCTGTTCTTACAAGAGAGCTGGTTACCATTTACATAATGATGATATATTTGTTTAACTTTTTCACCGCTTTTGGGGGGGGGGGGTGTGTTTTAGGCCCAAACTTGATTAATATGAATGAGTCGAGATCAACTTCCTAACACCAGACATGTAGCTTACATGTATAGTAGATGCATATAAATATATTCAGAAAAAAGGAAGTGACGTAACGTTGAGCGACGCCCACCGTGACGTTGTGAGTCGTCTATCGCGTTATTCTTTAGTGTGAATATACTCCGTAAGGTCGATATGTTCTATACTTATTTTTTTTACAGATTTTCAAATGTCTTTCGGTATTGATCATTTTCGTATAGTTTTTCGAGTCCCGTTATCGAAAAATCACTGAATTTGTTCCCTAGCTTATACCACATTCGTCGATTTACACGTGATCTGATTGCGTACCTTGTACGAGGGCCCGTTCAAACCAATAAACGTGTATGTTTCAATGGCATAATGACAAAACGTGCACTTTTTAACAGATCTGCAAGGAGAACAGGAATTCAGTTGTCAAAGGAAGTGTTTGTTGTGTTTTTATGATCTAGAATGACCTGTAAATTATTTCTGTTTCTGAATGCCGTAATATGATTTTGAAATATTTCTTGCATTCTGTCTTGAAGTATACAATTCTGGTATGTGCTTGCACGCGTACTTTTTGTCATATATTCGGGAGTGCCCGGGGAATCGTCGGTACCATGCGGACTTCTTCAGTTTCTGTTTTATGTCCATTACATGTACTGTATAGTATAATTATATACATGTAAATTACATTTATCATGCACGTTATAACATCAAGAAAACATATTACATTAATACACCAGATCCACTGGCATTAAACAATGTATAAATCAAAAAGTAATTATCCGAAATAATATGAGGTTATTAAATGATATTGTCATAATGGTATCTCATCCACTGGCTGGGGGATTGTTTCAAGTGGTCTTCACTATGGAACCATTGCTTTTCACGAATAGATTTTATCATTGATTCCCGTAAAGTATAAAAAAATTAACCCATGGAAATTTGTTAAATGTCATTTGCTAGGTCGGATTCATTTCTAGACTTGTCTTTGCATCTTTTAATACGTTTTTTTTCCATTTTACACGGTCAAATTACTCTCTGCTCGTACATGTATTTCAACTATTATGATCAATTTCATTTATTTGATAATCATAAAAGTGTTATTCCAGGAATGAAGTTTGTTACCGAATTTGGGAGAAGGGGTGAAGTGTCTGCGAAATCTGGGGGTAAAGTGTTTGGAGGTGGCTTGTGCTGTTAAACATGTAAAATACCAACAAGTAAAATGGTTTCCTGCGGTGAACATTTTAATGATATAAAGATATTTCATTTAACTATTTTCAACATTATTTGGAGGTGGGGAATAAATAAACGTTTGTATTAGGAATATAATTGACAACTGAATAAACGATCAATATAGAAGAAGGTCTTTGGAAACTGGTGACCGTTGAAGACCGGAGAAGGTCGAACATAAAACTATTATTTCTTTTTAAGAAAATGATTAAATCTAGGCCTACCATTTTATGAATAATTCCGAGCAAACAATAAATAAAGTAAACACACAAGTTTACGCAGAAAATATCTCTATTTATTATGGCAGATGCCACTACGAATATCTTAATTTTGTAGATTTTCAGTATAAACAATTTATTGTTTGTAAAATTTGAGATAGATATTAAAGAAACATTGATAATTTTCAAACACATCATTCAAGTTTTTCCACCTTAAACGGTAAAATAATTATAGAAAATTAAAAATATCACGTAATAGTTTTTTGTTCTTAATTAGGTGTAATTCGGACTAATTCCCTACAGGTAAATCCGTAACGTACCGGCAAACGGTATGTACCGAAAACCGGTCACGTGTTCCTCCATGCCGCGTACCAATACCCTGCGGTCTCCAGACCGCAGGGAATAAAATTTATTTTGTAATATTTCAGACGACTTGGTCTACAGAGATTTAGTAGCTTTTTGCCTGTAAAGGGTGGGTAGTGTTGTCTCCCTTACTTCTAATGCGCATGCTCAGGTAAACAGTCGCCATATTGGAAAGAAATTTTGCCAAAGCAGACGAGATGTAATTTTTTATTGCAGATTTGGCAATATCCAGCCAAATGTCGTCGGCATTGGCCAAGTTTAGAAAATCTAATAAGGATGGTGACATCAAGAAAGCCGCGCAAAAGGTGTCAGATCCAAAGAAGGATACGCTAACACGGCTGAAACATTTGCGGACAGTTCTGGGTTGGTCTTATCCCGTCTTATCAAGTTTATGTCTTTGGCCTTGGAAATTTGTACTTAGAAATAGTTTTCTTAAAGTTGCCATAATTTTATTATTGCTTACTATGAGAATGTTAGTGCTCATAATGTATCATGAATTGCAGTTATTCTTTCAAACTATTCTCAAAATTGATAGGCCTAAACTTAATAAAACAGAAAAATGTTTTAAGGAAAAAGGTCCTCCACAGAATTATGAATTATTTGATACATCTCCATGTTACTGCTTGACAATCAATTCTGATTATGACTAGCAGGAATACGAGACCCCAAAGGCAGCATACTTTTTAGAAACTGAAAAAAAGTAATCCGGGTCAATTTGTCAGGTCTAGTATATCGCCAGATTAGTGTATGATGCACAAATTGGTACATAATACACAAATTGATGTATTTAATCATACACTGATCGGTGAATAAAAGTTTTGATAAATGAGTTTCTGTAAATAATTTGTTGTTTATTTATAATCATGTTTTGGCACCTGCACATAACATTGGTAATAGTCTGTTTTATTGACAAAGAATAAACACAACTTCTGATCTAAATGAACTTTAGGAGATTTTAATGTTTTCATCCACTGAAAAATTGTAACTTTCAGACATAAATTCATTTCCATATTTCATATCTAGTTATTATTCTGATCTGGTATTCTTAGTTTTAAAATACACCAATAAACACTTTCCCCACCTAGCAGACGACAGGCTATTCTTATCAGTATGTTTTCGAGTAAAGATAACCGGTTGCGTATCTCACTGTATAAATCGTATGTAAAATGGGCTGACATATGGTAGGTTTAACAGTTAATGTAAATACTTTGGTGTCAAAAGTTATGTTAAATTATATACTGTGACAAAGCTAAGATCCCAATATTTCCATTGATGTAATAATTTTTAAAATTGGACATTTCATCACAGCAAACTAGCGGTTTGAATATGGCTTAATTTGTATTGTTTTAGCGTAAGAGATACCAATTTTACTCGAAGATAAGGGAAACAACTCGTATTTTTTCACTCGATATACCTCGGATATTTACGTAGTTCATATGAAAAGTGTTTATGGGTGTATTGTGACAATTGTCTCTTGACTGGAAAGTAAAAAAATAACCACTTCCAATTTTGGGATGCACCAATTAGTGTATCATTCAGTTTTTCAAAAAAGGGCAAGAATTGCCAGTGTTTACATCAATATCTTTTGTTTCAGGATATTTCTATGAATATTATCTATAGTAAGTGCAGGTGCCACAGTTCACACTGCTATATTTACAAAATAATGGGTCTTCATAGATTTGAATGATAGTCTGGTACACCAAATGGTGCATCATAAAATACACCAATTAGTGCATCATACACATATTGGTGCATCATGCACTAATCTGGCAATATACTAGACCTGTTTGTCCCTTAAACAAACTGGAAAAAGAGTCAACTCGGCCCTATACCAACTCGGCACGGGTCAACTCGGCCCACTTTACAAAAATATATATAACGTATTAACTTTGCTTTGCATGTTGTTAAGGTAAATGAATAATAAGAAATATCTTATTATTATATAATTATACATTGTAGCCTGGGTCTCCACGATACCGGTGTACATATTTTATGCAAGGTGTTTTTCATATAAAATTTTACTGACTTGAAAACAAGAAGGAATAAACAACTTCATTAACATTTAATCCTCTTAAAAATACATTACAGAGTTCTGTTACTATGAAATTCTTGCTCACAACAAATGTAAACAATGGTCGACCATTTTGTATGATGTAGTTAAACAGACTTCATGCTACCGGTGCACTGGTAAAAATGTTATTTATATGGAAAGCCATTGCAGTTTTAATAGCAAAAATATCATTTTAGCATTCTTGTATTCATATCTAAAAAAGACAAACTTAAAAACAACATAAAAACATGTGTTTCAATAGTGTACTGTTCTTCTTTTATCACCCCACCCCCCAGGGATCTCTGTTTTAGAATCTTTTCCTCCCAATTACAGGTGTATATTATACCATGTGGCTGGATTCAAAAATCCCCCTTCACTTAATTTTAGTGTTGTTATGATTTTCTGGTCCTTTTATATCATTGAATCTATTTTATTTCTATATGATGAAGATTAAATATCAATATGGCACTTTACATAGGCTCCCTTAAAAGACTGAATGAAACTGACTTTTTAATTTTCACAAACTTTTTTATATGCACTAATGGCTTTCCATAGATTAATTTTTTCCCGCCAAAAAGGATGTCAAAAGGTCGAGTGACATGTAATGGAGGTTAAATGACGTCAGCACCTGTCATTTTTTATATTTTTTTGGAAAAAAAGTGTTTTGTTGAGAGACCAATTTATGCAATGGAGGAATAGGATAGTAAAATAAAAATAAGGTAGGATATGTGAAATATTTCTTTCAGAAACTCATGAAAATGTTTAAAAACTTTGAAATAGCCAATATTACTGGGAGCATGTCAATGTAAACACTCGGTAGGTGGCGTTGACAATAATATCGCGAGATATGTGAATATACCGGTACAGTGGAGTCACCGGTATCATGGGGTTCGAGTATACTTCTTCTGAAATAAAGTATATTTAGATAAAAAAGTTATTTATCTGTCTTGCAGATTCGATAAAATTAATATAGATCTAGATTCTAATAAAATGTGTTTGTAAAGTAATATTTAAAAAAATATGAAACAAAAACGTGTTTACTTAATAAGTTAATATCATAAGCTTCTAATTAAATCTTCCGTATAAGCGCATTGATTGCTGCCGAAATTCATTTGCACGTGTCATACGTTTTTTTCTTCTATCGAATAGAAAGACCTTGTCTGTGCATTATCTAGTTAAAGTAATAAAGAACAGAACATCAGTTAAATATGTAGATATACGGTGAGATACGCAATCGTTTATCTTTACCCGCAATTCTACTGATAAGAAAAGCTTGTCTGCTGCTAGTTCGAAACTGTCAATCCGTGTATTATATAAATAATTACAATAAATAGTGTTAACACAAACCTAAATATTGATTATTGAAAAGTGGGCCGAGTTGACCCGTGCCGAGTTGGAATAGGGCCGAGCTGACTCGGGGGCCGAGTACGTTTTAGGGACGAGCTACCCGGATTCAACAAACTCTGTCCCTGAGTCATCTCGGCACTCTACCAACTGGGCATCATCCACGAGTCAACTCAGCCCATAATTATATATAAATTATAACTCTAGTTATAACAATTAATGTTATATATTTTTTTATCATATCTTCCATTTTTAAATCTTATTTGGGACAAAAAATACCTTTTTTTATGATATCCTGGTTGTACTATCTACCGGGAGTGTAAGCCTGATTAGGCCCACTATCATATAATACAGAAAAAATCTAGGATAAAATAGTTATTTTCTGTAGAAGGTACCATTTTTTGATGAAAATAACAATTATCCAAAAGAAATTTTAACTATACATCAAAAAGATAGTTCTGTTAATAACCTCATTGTCATATGAGTGGCAGTCATATGAGTGGCAGCCATCCTTGTTTTTAAGTACTTAATACCAGGAATGACTTTTAAGCAATTAAATTTTATTAATAAAAAGTTAAAAACATATGTAAATGGTCCATTACTGTTAATTAATACACTTGTTACTATATATAGTAACAAAATTGCCTATGATTTCAACTGATTATGAGTGTCACGTGACCTATTATGAGTTTGCAGCCCGGTGCCGAGAACTAGTTATCAGCCCACAGAACATGTGCACGTGCACAAACTGAAACACTGACGTCATATTTTACGTCATCAAACAGTTAACTGTAAAAGTGAAAGTAGGTTGTCAGCACAAATCGCCTTATTTTTATTATGAGAGCTTAAGCGTATTTAGTACAAAAACATTTTTGTTACTATTGAAATTTGAAGAAATGATATGACAAATTCATTCCGAAAAACTTGCTTCTAGATTCTACTGCTTTGAACACACAAACAGTAAACATCTCTGTACAGAACAGTAGAAGAGTAGACAAGAATTTCAACGAAACAACTTTGTTGTTGTTGTTTTTGTTTTGTTTTTTTTCTTTTAATGCTACTATTAGATCTACCAAGTGTATTAAAGACATTAATACACGTCAGAATAGGGCCGGAAGGTGATAATCGGCCCTCGGGTCCATTATTCATTTTGCGGGCCGATTATCACCTTGCGGATCTTTCCTGCCGTGTATTAACCTCTTATTATACTTAAGTTCTATTCAATATTTATCAGTTATCACACAGTAAAAGGGTAACAATTTGATAAGCATTTGCACACACATTCAAAATATCATGTTGGGTCCAAATCATTAGCAATATTACTGGTTTTTATACATAAAACACATTTATGTGAATAGGGTTATTGAAACTTTGAATTTTCTTCAAAAAATGCGAAATTTTGTATGAAATTAATGTGAAAAACACTTGCATACAAAAGAAATTTTTTATGTAAGTATTGTTCGTAATATCTGGACATTCCTGGTTCAAAGTACCTCCTGGTATAAAGTACCTTTAGGATAATTATTTTTTTGTCCCAGATCTAATTTGATTAACAAAATGTTATGTTCTCTTCTGCACTGTTTTAGTTTCATACTGGATCAAAAGACTAGTGACTGTCATCTAGTAACCCTGACAGTCAATTACCATCTTTTATCTATGATACACATGGGTCTTTATTGTAGATTATAGGTGATAATTAACTTCCTAATGGGATTAAGAAGTAAATGTACATGTACTTTATGACGTAAATGTTCATTTCAAACTTAATATTTAACTTGTAATATTTAATTTGTACAATTATAGACATACATATTTTACTTCCTTACGTATTGGTACTTTGCAATGGAATTAAAAGTGTTTAATATATATATAAATAACAAATTCAATTTAAAAACTTTATGGATCAATAACAGATAATTTCAAACAAAATGCTGCCAACTTTAACAATTTCTATTCGTTTTAATAGTGGTCATACCTCTGAATTACTTTTATAGTAATTTACTTCTTAAAAAAGTTTATTTACTAGATAATCTATATGCTGAAGGTTTTTACTGGAGGGCCTAGTTGACCTTTACCGAATAAAAGCATAAGTAACATAAAACGCTTGTAAGCCTACATTTATCTATAAAATTATATTTTCTGAACATGTTCTTTTAAACAACCTTACTTGTTGACCTGCTTCTATCTACTTTATTTGTTTACAATTAAATGAAAACAGATACCAACAATGAATGGTGGTATTCAGTGAAAAAATGACTCCCCTAACAAAACCCAACCACACAGTTTAAATTATTTCTTGCTTGTATTCTTCTTTATTGTAATAATCAATCAATATTACTTTTTTTTTTCATTCCAGAAAATTATGAAACAGCTGAGGCAAAGAAGTTTTTTGAGGAAAATTATTCTCATATATACTATATCTTCTTTGACAACTTTGTAATAGTAGAGGCAGATCTTAAACAAAGAGGTAATTATGCTTTAAACTGAATTTTATTTTTATGCTTCTTGCTCATACAGCCATTATTTTTAAATTGTTGTCTCATGTTTAATATGGACATGTCTAGGGAGGTTCTATTCCTTCAGATTTAGTAAGGGGTCATTTGGGTCAAGGTTAAGATATCAAGGACACCAGTGCCAGAATAGATTTTTACACTTTCACAGGTGACCTTCTAGGTGATAGGTGTACCCTTTATCTATTGACAGATGTCTTTTATATTTGGTAGGAACTTAACTTGAGAAGTTTTCTACCATTGGATGGTGTTAGGGGTCAGTTGGGTCAAGTTCAGAAGTGCTCAAAATAGATTTTTACTTTTTTGCTCATACACCCTTTATTTATTGACAGATGACATTTTTCATATTCAGTAGGAAGATAACTTGCATGGTCTTCTTCCTTTGGATTGGGTTAGGGATCAGTTGGACAAGTTCAAGGGTGCCAGTAATAGATTTCTACAAACTTACTTATATATAGCCTTTAATTATTGACTGATGTTTTTCATATTTGGTAGGAAGATAACTTGCATGGTCTTCTTCGTTTGGATTGAGTTAGGGGTCAGTGGGTCAAGGGTGCCAAAAATATATTTCTACATAATTGCTTATACAGTCTTTAGTTATTGACTGATGTTTTTCATATTTGGAAGGAAAATACCTTGGATGTTAGGAATCACAAGGTCAAGTTAAACTGTGCTAACAATAGATTTTTATGCCCCCACAAAGTGGGAGCATATAGCGTTGCACTTGTCCGTACGTCTGTCCGTCCGCACTACCGAAAAGGGATAGAGGGCCATCTAGCTGTAAACAGAACAAAAGAGAACAATAGAGTTCATTCCGTAACAATAGAGTAAGGGGCCATTGGCCCCCTATTAAACAATAGAAAATAACAAAAGAAATGGCCCTTTATTCCATTTCGGCCGGACGCCCGTCCGTACGTCCCAAAATCTTGTGAACGCAACTCCTCTTAAACCGGATGGCAGATTTTGCTTAAACTTTCAGGGATGAACAACCTAAATGTGTAGATGGTAGTAAAGGAAGGAATTTTCGCTGCGACCAAATTTAACAGAATTATGGCCCTTTGTTGATTTTTTCACTATATACTATGTAGAAATTTTGTGAACGCAACTCCTCTTAAACCGGATGGCAGATTTTGCTTAAACTTCCAGGGATGAACAACCTTAATGTGTAGATGGTAGTAAAGGAAGGAATTTTTGCTGCGACCAAATTTAACAGAATCAGGCCCTTTGTTGATTTTTCACTATATACCATATAGAAATTTTGTGAACGCAACTCCTCTTAAACCGAATGGCAGATTTTGCTTAAACTTCCAGGGATGAACAACCTTAATGTGTAGATGGTAGTTAAGGAAGGAATTTTTGCTGCGACCAAATTTAACAGAATTATGGCCCTTTGTTGATTTTTTCACAATATACCATATAGAAATTTTGTGAACGCAACTCCTCTTAAACCGAATGGCAGATTTTTCTTAAACTTCCAGGGATGAACAACCTTAATGTGTAGATGGTAGTAAAGGAAGGAATTTTTGCGGTGACCAAATTTAACAGAATCAGGCCCTTTGTTGATTTTTTCACTATATACTATGTAGAAATTTTGTGAACGCAACTCCTCTTAAACCGAATGGCAGATTTTTCTTAAACTTCCAGGGATGAACAACCTTAATGTGTAGATGGTAGTAAAGGAAGGAATTTTTGCTGCGACCAAATTTAACAGAATTATGGCCCTTTGTTGATTTTTTCACTATATACCATATAGAAATTTTGTGAACGCAACTCGTCTTAAACCGAATGGCAGATTTTGCTCAAACTTCCAGGGATGAATAACCTTAATGTGTAGATGGTAGTAAAGGAAGGAATTTTTGCTGCGACCAAATTTAACAGAATTATGGCCCTTTGTTGATTTTTTCACTATATACCATATACATGTTGTCAGTGGGGGCATCTGTGTCCTTTGGACACAGTTCTAGTTTTAACTTTTTCTGATGCAGCCTTTATTATCATTATTTTTCAACTTCATCAAATAGCAATGACATGCCAACTTGCGTTTTTCACAATAACGAAAGATAATGAATGACTTAGTCGAGTTATAGAAAATATGTTACTGACAAGAAACTGGCATAGGGGCATTTGTATTTACCTAACATGTTCTTGTTCAAATTTATAATTCATTACAGACTGAAAAAATGAAAGGATGTTTAAAAAAACTTATCATCATTAATCATTTAATTAATAAAAGCTGTAATTTTTCTTTCAGCAAACAAGTCTCATAGGGAAGAGCTAGACAATATCTTAAATATATTCGAGGTAACTTTTCTTTATGCATTTACATGCATTAGTAAGAGAAATGCTTAATTGATAATCAAATTTATAACTTTTGATATATTTGTCTTATAGATATAAAACTACTAAGTTCCACTAGTTTCTTTATCAAAAAATAATCTAGAAATTTAGAATCAAACAAATGGCTAAAACTTGATATTTATATTGACAGAAAAGTTTGATAAATTTAAAGAGGGCAAACCAGTTTTTAGCTCACCTGTCACTTAGTGACAGGGTGAGCTTTTGTGATCGCTTTTCGTCCGGCGTCCGTCGTCCATCCGTCGTCCGTAAACTTTTACTTTAAATGACATCTCCTCATAAACCACTGAGCCAATTTCATCCAAACTTCACAGGAATGTTCCTTTGGTGGTCACCTTTAAAAATTGTTCAAAGCATTTAATTCCATGCAGAACTCTGGTTGCCATGGCAACCAAAAGAAAAAACTTTAAAAATCATCTTCTAAAAAACCAAAAGAGCTAGAGCTTAGATATTTGGCATGAAACATCTTCTAGTGAGTGTCTACCAAGTTTGTTCAAATAAAAGCCCTGGGGTCAAAATTGGCCCCGCCCCAGGGGGTCATTGATTTTCCCTATATGTATATAGTAAAAACTTTTAAAAATCTTCTTTTAAAGAACCCAAAGAGCTAGAGCTAAGATATTTAGCATGAAACATCTTCTAATGGTGTCTACAAGTTTGTTCAAATAAAAGCCCTTGTGTTAAAATTGGCCCCACGCCCCAGGGGGTCATTGATTTTTCCTCCATATGCATATAGTAAAAACTTAAAAATCTTCTTTTAAAGAACCCAAAGAGCTAGAGCTAAGATATTTAGCATGAAACATGTTCTAATGGATGTCTACCAAGTTTGTTCAAATAAGAGCCCTTGGGGTCAAAATTGGCCCGCCCCAGGGGGTCATTGGATTTTCCCTATATGAAATATAGTAAAACTTAAAAATCTTCTTTTAAAGAACCCAAAGAGCTAGAGCTAAGATATTTAGCATGAAACATGTTCTAATGGATGTCTACCAGTTTTGTTCAAATGAGAGCCCTGGGGTCAAAATTGGCCCCGCCCCGGGACATTGATTTTCCTTATATGTGTATAGCAAAACTTAAAAATCTTCTTGGAAATAACCCAAATAGCTAGAGTTTAGATTATTAAGCATGAAACATCTTCTAGTAAGTGTCTACAAAGATTGTTCAAATAAAAGCCCTTGGGTCAAACTGGCCCTGCCCCAGGAGTGTCATTGTTTTTAAATAATAGTATATGTGTAAAGAAAAAACTTAAAAATTTTTTTTTTTTAAAAACCCAACAAAGCTAGACCTTAGATGTTTAGCATGAAACATCTTCTAATGGGTGTCTACCAAGTTTATTCAAATAAAAGCCCTGGGGTTTAAACTTGCCCCACTGCGGGGGGCCTATATACAGGTGAGCGACTTCAGGGCCATCATGGCCCTCTTGTTTCCAATAATGAATTACTTGTATGTACATTAGTTGTTTGGATTTAAATTTGCAACATAATGCCTGAAGATGGTTTTACCTTTCAGAAAATACTGCTGTTGTTGCCAGAACTAGTTCATAAAAGATGGATGTTTCACAGTATTGGGCGGATAATGAAAAAGTTATTACATCCTGGAAATGGACTGAAGGTACTAGCCTCTTGCTCCTTGTTTTGATAGCTTGTAATGTCTGTTTTGTAATTTTTCACTCGAGGATTGTTTTGTCTTGTCTTATTTAAAAGTAATGAACAACTGTGGTGTTTGTCTGTAAAATATTGTTAGGTGAACAAATGAAGCAATTTATATATTGCAATCAGCATTTACAATCTAAGAAAATTAGCAAAAAGTGGGCAACATGTGCCAAAACAGCCCTAACTACATTAGTAACACAGTAGAAATATGGTGATTAAATACTGCAAAATCAGTCTTTAACTGCACATAACATGCAAAATATAACATGGATCTTGAATGTCTTCACCTTTCTTAAAATTTTAGTACATTTTTCTCAATATTGATTTTCTTGAGAAATTTAGGCTCATCTGGAGGTGTGCAGCTTTAATGTCAGTCAGTGAATCAAGATTATTAGATTAATGAATGTAGTGGGATTCTAGTAACATATTTTCTTGTAGTTTGTAAGAAATGGTTAATTTAATTGTAGTAAATATATACTAAATGGTTTACATGTACACTGTTTCCTGTAGCTAAGAAGAGATGGAATGAGGCTGTTTTTGATCTGGTACCAAATATTACAAGATAATGCATCTGATGAGTGCCATCAGATCTTCCTACAACTGGTACCTGGCCTTGGAAAGGGAGAGCAACAAGACATACTTTATGGCAAAACAGCTAATACCCCTGACAGTAAGTTTAACCTTTTTCTATTCACAGAAAAAGGCATTACAAATGATAATTTAAATTAAAAGTAAGTGTAAATCATGCCAGAAAAATAGATAGATTTGTCTATAAAACTTCTAGATAGATCTGCAATGCATGAAATTTTAAACTATATTTAAAACAAAACAAAAGGAAGAACCTAGCCTTGGTAAAGACCAAAACATGGCTATAAAATGTTTCGTAATGTCAGTAATATATAATGTTTAACATTACAGGTATTATGATATTAAAAGTCAGTTAGTTAATTAGAATTTTTTTGCATACACCCCTCTTCCTGTAAATCGTTGTGAAAGCATCATGGTTCTTTTAAATGTTTATGTATATTTCTCGATTCTGTTCTAAATAAGATGTAACTTCACAATAGTGTGTTTTTTGAACTGCTTCCTACTTAGTTTGTTATGCATTTTTCCACACAGTAAGAGCTTCTAGTACAAGTTTGTCAAGTTCATGTAAGTGACCCGGTTGACCCTAGCATGACTGTTAAATGTATTCAGTGTTTTTTTCCAGTGTTAAATTTTTATGTTCAATATGTTTCATGTATGTTTATGATCTTACCATTTGTTAGGTCAGTGTTTCATGTGGAAATTATTGCATGAATGAAATGCGTACTTATTACATGTATCCTTAGTGATATTATTGTGTATTCCCTTTCTAGTACCATAATTGTTGATTTATATTTTATCTCTTCCCTTGTTTTCCCAGAAAATACATTTCAAATAGAAGCCATTGCATATTATTATATTGTGAAATTATTGCAATGTTCCCATTTCCCCATCTTTTACATCAGTCATAGTTGATTTCCCATGGTTATTCAGAAACACTTGTTCATGTTACCATGCACCATAATTGTTGTTGATATTGTCCAAATGCTTATGTTTAATGAAGTCCAAATGCTTATGTTTAATGAAATGTTATTTAAATATTTAGTACTGCATAGAAAATTACCTTTTTGAATTTATTCTTTATAAATAAGCTTTCAGACCAAATCACCTGTTAACATTTAATAGTCTTATTAGAATCTGGCATTGAATAGAGCTAAGCTATTGAAATTTTGTGTATTGATCTATGGTCATGCTTGTGTCTGAAATTCTGAAATTATTCACATTTCTCTGGAGGGATTTTTCAGTACATATAAAGATGAAAATCTACATATTTAAATTGAACATTGTCAATATTTATGAATTGTACACATGAAGCACTGATTTTTAATTCCTTAAGTTCTACATGTATGTTGCTAGCTATTAGTGTTTGATTTTTGTTGATAAGATAGGCATATTCATGTAAAAGGTTATCTTTTAGAGGATATTGAACTAAGGAGATTGTTCAGTTTTGTAACCAATAACAAAATCACTTTTACTTGTGTAATCTCTTTCTAATATAGGTTCGAGTCTTACATTGTGGCAATCATGTTTCTTCATATGTCACTAGTACTGATTGATTTCTACATTTTGATTGAACTAAAATAAACATCTTTAAACAAATTGAAGATTTAAGAACTTCATTTTATTTGTTAATTTGTATTTGAAAACTATTGATAAAACTCTGAATTAGAACATTTCAAATTTATTTTTTGTAATGAACTTGGTCTGTATTCAAGTAGCTATAACATATATAAAATAACAGTGATTACATATTTATCTACACATTTATTTTTTCAACAATACTATGTAATGAATATGTTATTGTAAAATTACATGGTTTGTATTGCTTGTACCATATGGATGCCATGTAACTTTTCTGTGTGTTGAAAATATGCTTTTGGTGCAGATTATGTCTTAACAGTGTGTGGTTTTGCTTGTGATTTGTTAAGAGGGTTGATATTAATTCTTTCGTAATTTTTTTACACATGGCAATAAAGTTTATTAAGCTATTAAATTAAGTTTATGTAATATTGATACTAAATCCGAAAAAATAAGTTATGAAAATGATTTAAAAGTTTGGGAAATCCAAGAGAAGTGAATTTATAAATTTATAGTTTTAATACAGAGTGAAGTCTAGAATAAACCTTAATTGAATCGATAAAACGAAAGTGATGTTAAATTAAATTTGATGTTTCTAAATTGCAGCTTATGGTGGGATTATAGCAGCCGGGGAGATAACTCCCATACTACCTGTGCCTGGGGAGAAGCAACCTGACAATATCACAAAGTTCTTCTTTGATGCATTGCTACAGTTTATGGTGTCTGAGGTAGTGTGAAAATTCCTGATTTTTTTTTTCACTATCAAAAATGTGGCATTTATATATGCCAGTCATGTTTTATTTGTTACAAAATATCTGAATTAAGTTATAAGATTAATTTCCATATGTTGACTGATGTTTATGTTTTATGCCTGATCTCCAAAGAAAGAAAAAACCTGAATCTCATAATTCCACATCTTACAATACTGTACTCAATTTTCTTAATAAATCCAAATCGATTTTACTTATAAATCATTCTTTTATTATTTTTATATTTATAAATCTAGAATACACTTGTTTTCTGTTTTCAGGTGATCAAAATTGAATGGATGAACAAAGATATGAGAGAAATCTGTTTTGTCTTTCTTTTCAACAAGTTTAAGCACTCATATTTGAAATGGCTTCTACCAGATTTTGACAAGACAAGAACCATATATGATCCCGTACTTGGTAAGGCCTATTGTGAGAACTTAAGCAATATTAAAGCTTATATATTGATAGAAATTTTTGAAAATATGAATTAGCTACTGTGATTTAGAAATGAAAAACAGTTGTGCATATTAGAAAAATTTCATTTTTTATATGCCCGAAAGAATTTCGGGCATATTATGTTATACCCCCTGGCGTCCGTCCGTCCGCACTCACAGGACAGTAATTATGTGGCTAGAGGGACAATAGGTAACTGTTCTTTCCCTTTGATGTCATTCATTCCGTAATGCTTTTATGTGGCTATTTTCTTTTGCGTGGCTAAAAAGAACAATAGAGAGGCCACATAATTACTGTCCTGTGAGAACGTCTGTCCGTTAGCAATTTGGTTTCCGGAGCATAACTCAAGTTCCATTTGGCCCACAGTGTTCAAACTTCATAGGATGATTGTCCATATTGGGTAGGAGACCCCTATTGATTTTGGGGTCACAAGGTCAAAGGTCAAGGTCACTATCACCTTAAAACTGAAAACAGTTTCCGGAGCATAACTAAAGTTCCATTTGGCCGACAGTGTTCAAACTTCATAGGATGATTGTTCATATTGGATAGAAGACCCCTATTGATTTTGAGGTCACAAGGTCAAGGTCATTATTACTTAAAAAATGAAAACAGTTTCTGGAGCATAACTTAAGTTCCATGTGGCCCACAGTATTCAAACTTCACAGGATGATTGTCCATATTGGTTAGAAGACCCCTATTGATTTTGGGGTCACAATGTCAAAGGTCAAGGTCACTATTACCTTGAAGCTGAAAACAGTTTCCGGAACATAACTTAAGTTCCATTTGGCCCACAGTGTTCAAACTTCATAGGATGATTGTCCATATTGGGTAGGAGACCCTTATTATGCCCCCACTTCAAAGAAGAGGGGGTATATTGCTTTGCACTTGTCGGTCTGTCGGTCCGTAGACCAAATGGTTTCCGAGTGATAACTAAAGAACGCTTAGGCCTAGGAACTTCAAACTTGGTATGGTGATTGGTCATGACCAGCAAATGACCCCTATTGATTATGGGGTCAAAGGTCAAGGTCACATTGACCTTGTTAGTAAAAGCAGTTTCCGATTAATAACTAAAGAACACTTAGGCCTAGGAACTTCAAACTTGGTATGGTGATTGGTCATGACTAGCAGATGACCCCTATTGATTTTGGGGTCAAGGGGTCAAAGATCAAGGTCCTTGTAAGTAAAAACGGTTTCCGATCAATAACTAAAGAACGCTTAGGCCTAGGAACTTCAGACTTGGTATGGTGATTGGTCATGACCAGCAGATGACCCCTATTGATTTTGGGGTCAAGGGGTCAAAGGTTAAGGTCACATTGACCTTGTAGGTAAAAACGGTTTCCGATCAATAACTAAAGAATGCTTAGGCCTAGGAACTTCAAACTTGGTATGGTGATTGGTCATGACCAGCAGATGACCCCTATTGATTTTGGGGTCAAGGGGTCAAAGGTCAAGGTCACATTGACCTTGAAGGTAAAAACGGTTTCCAATCAATAACTAAAGAAAGCTTAGGCCTAGGAACTTCAAACTATGTATGGTGATTGGTCATGACAAGCAGATGACCGCTTTTGATTTTGGGGTCAAGGAGTGAAAGGTCAAGGTCACATTGACCTTGTAGGTAAAAATGGTTTCCGATCAATAACTAAAGAACGCTTAGGCCTAGGAACTTCAAACTTGGTATGGTGATTGGTCATGACCAGCAGATGACCTATTGATTTAGGGGTCAAATGTCAGGGTCACATTGACCTTTTAGGTGAAAACAGTTTCCAATCAATAACTTAAGAAAGCTTAGGTCTAGAAACTTCAAACTTGGTATGATGTTTGGCCATGACCAGCAGATGACCCCTATTGATTTTTGGATCAAGGTTCAAAGGTCAAGGTCACGTTGAATGCTTAGGCCTAGGAACTTCAAACTTGGTATGATGATTGGTCATGACCAGTAGATGACCCCTATTGATTTTGGGGTCAAGGGGTCAATGTCATATTGACCTTGTTTTTAATGACAGTTTCTGTAACTCAACAACTCAAGTTGCCTTGGTTGATATTTTTATATTAAACTAAAAATGCTTATGGTATACACATTTTGAAGGTCTTATGTAATATAACAACTTGGCTGTCATTAATGAGGCCTACATGATTCATAAAATGTATTGCTATTTGAAGGAGGTAATACTTTATTTAATTTATGTAATGTCTTACAAATGCTTCATCCTTAGTAAAGAAAAAAAACACTTTCGGGCATATAATGTTCCGCCTAGCGGTGCTCTTGTTTTAACAAGCTTTCTTCCTTGTTAAAAATAATGCTTTAATAGATAACTTTCAATAACTAATTTATTGATGTAGTAACACTTTTTAAACTAATGTAAAGCTTATTGGAAATGACAGTGAATTAATTTATATATTAGATATTTTAAATTCATTTTGATGCCAAAAATGACCTGTCTCAGTATTTTCTTTTGCACAATACATATATTATTTTGTTTAATTTTGGTTAGTGCCTCCACTTCAGTGCATAAAAATACGCTCTTCGAGGAATGTCAATACAAACATCCCAAAAATAGTTAGATAATAATTAAAATGCTGTGTAGTAATATATATTTTCCAAATTTTACAAATTTTGTGAAATATTTCTTTACACAGATTTGCCATGTGTAAGGGTTCCTGCTGACACACTTTCTACAGATGAACCAGAAAATGTGTCTGAATGTAGAGACTCATTTATTCGCTGGTTGACAACTTTTACAATAACTTCGAACAAAAAACCTGAAGGAGAAGTGTTAAAGTATGTTGATTTTAAGCTTTTAAGTATAAAAACATATACATTTCAGTTATTGAACACCTGGTTTTATAACAATGGAATTAATATTTGAGTTTCTTTTTAGAAAAAAATGATAGGAAATTCAGATTTCTGAGAGTATCTGCATTTAAAGTTTCTTATTCCTCAAAAATAGTGTTTAATCATAGAAACATTTGACTTGTGTTCCTGTTTAAAATCTTCATTTGTGGATAAAACAACTTTTGACAATAGAATTTTTTTATAGATTAAACAACTGGTATAGTGCAGTCATTTTTGTATGAATAAATATGTCCAGGGATAAGGTAACAGTTGTCTCATGTGATCATATCTTTGACAGAGGTATCTCCTGCTCAGCACTGGCAGAAGGTGATGAAGATGATGTTAAAACTAAGAAAGATGTTTCAGAGAGCAGAGAAGAGAACCAAGATCAAGCCCCAGGCAGTAACACTAGCACATTATCGGCCAGCTCTCAAATCTTTGAGAAAGACTCACCAAATTCAAGCTTCTGTAATGAAGAACATAGTACTTCTGAATACGAGATTGTGAGGTCTGTGATGTACTCGACTAGAGAAAACATAAATATTGTTCATGAGATATTCAGACAGGTACGTTAAGTGTATAGGTTGAGCTTTTTCTTAAAGCCCAGACAATCATATTTTGAAGGGCATATTTGAGTCACTTTTTGGTGGGTTGCCTGGATGGTTGTGCAATTGGCTTGGCAGTCTGTTGCAGTTATATCTGCTCAAAGGAAAATTTGACATTTTAAATGTATTCATAATGTTAGTATAGAAATACATAAGTCACTTTAAGTGTAATGTCTGATCTAAGATGCTTTTCAAAATGTCCAGTGTCTATTCTAGGATTTTAAAAAGAGAGGGGGGGGGTTTAATAGAAAAGTTAGAATTTTTAACATTTGTTGATCTTTTTCCTTCTTTCTCTATGTAAAAGTTCCCCCTGCCTCTGAAAAAATAGAATTCTCAAAAATAAATACAGTAAACTTCACATATAGCGAACACCGTTATAGCGAACTTCCGGTTATAAGGAACAAAAATTTTTGGCACGAATTTTGCCCTTCTTTATTTAATATAAAAAATTACGGTTACAGTGAACACGGTTATAAGGAATTATCGCTTATAAGGAACTAATTTTTTAGTCCCAATGCCATAAAAAGTACAGAAAAATACACTTTTATAACGAACTCCAAAATTGGCTGTCCGTAAACAAATCAGACATTTTCTACTTTCGTTTTCATCGGCACAGATTAAAACTTGGCCGAATGTACCGTTTATTGTTGTATGCAGTTCAACACAGTTATGAAAATTAATTTGTATAGCAATACGTAATAGGTATTTTTAGCACGAGTTCTTGTCACCAAGATAAAACGATTATCCATTTTATCCTATTATTTTTTTTCTTTAAAATTACTGCCCGAGGAAAATAATTATGATTATTTGCAATAGGTTTTCAACATAAAAACGCATGCTATTTCTTGAGTAAAATCCATTGAAAAATATGCTTGGTTGAATAAAAAGAGATCTGCATCTATCTTGAGTAAAAGTCACCCATAAAATATAATAGAAGATATTCATTATAAAAGGAAGCAAAAATCGAAATCTTGTTTATTCTTTATAATGGAAAGAAAACAGAGTTCCAGATAACGTGCGTATCGGCGTATTTTACGCTTCAAAATCAACTAAATACGCACCATATTTCAAATTTCTTGCGTTCATTTACGCATGCTATAAATTAAATACGCAAAGAATGAAAAATCGAAGCGTATTTTGTGTGTAACTTCATTTTCGAAATAGCTGATTCCGTTTCCGTTTAACAGTTGACTGTGTTTCTTTTTCCCGTTTAATACCCGAAAAAAAAAATCCAACTATTTTTCATTCTGCAAACCAGTCAAATTACGTCTTTATCGCATAGGCGCTTGGTAAAATGTGTTGCTTGATTTCCCTTACAATTGCAAGCATTTATTTATAAAGACTTACATCATGGCTGCTTAGGAAAATTGACAATTTTTTTTAACACGACTGAGTTGCCTGCTAAAACAATAATTATTGTAAACCCAATTGTTGAAGACATTTTAGATAGTGTATAATTATTTAAAGTGAAAAGGGCGCACATAAGTGTGAATCGCAATACAACACTTGGAAATTGGCAAAAAAAATACCCGTGGCTGCAAATTTCAGAAACTGGTATTGAAGTGTGAATGAAATGTTTGACTTGTCAAAAATTTAAAGCTGGCATTGTATGGGCTAATGAATGTGCAATAAATATACAGAAATCGGCAATTGACAGGTGATTATTTGTAACGTTATTGTTTATGAATTGTCACCGATTTTTGTTGTAAACAATGTTAAATAAAATTAAGAATATGGTAAAGGCCTTATTATGGCTGAAGCCTTAATATCAGAGAATGGTCATTATTGTGTGTTAATTTCAATGTTATAAACCTCAGATGCAGCAAAAAAGTAAACTGATTTAATTGTACTCTTTAGATTTACGGTATATATCTAAATTTACCCCCTCATTCTGAAAAGTGGGGGTAATTACCCCCAGTACCAAAAAATTATCTGGAACTCTGGAAAACGAAAAGCGCTGAGTTTAGAAACAAAATATGATATTTTACGAGAAATTGAAAAAGGCAGGAAAACTAAGACTGAAATAGCAAAGGATTTTCAAATTCCAAAAAGTACACTCTCGGGTAAAAGGAAATCATTCTACAGGAGTATCAAACGTCAACATCCTCACCGAAACGGAAGCGACATCGTTCCGGAAAATTCGATGATGTGGACTCAGCACTTTTTGAGTGGTTTAAAGGTGCCAGAGCCAGTAGCATGCCAATCAGCGGCATTATTCTTCAAAAGAAAGCTGATGACCTCGCTAAAAGTCTCGGCCATATGGACTTCAGGTATGTGAATTTCTTATTTATTTTGTCTTAGTGAAGTTATAAAATGAAAAAAAAATTAATTCAGAATCTGTTAATTATAAAGTAAAAATACACAATTCTAATAAGCATGCGTTTTTGAATTTTAAAATCCCTTGCTATTTTAGTTGTACGGGCTTAAATAGACATATTTAATGGAAATGTATTTGTTTGTTATTTTTATTTTAAGTGCTTCGGGAAGCACGGTAGAACGTTTCAAGGGAAGGCACAACATTGTTTCTCATGCTATAAGTGGAGAGAGCGGAATGGTTGATTCATCGGTGACTGATGAATGGAAGGAGCGAACTTTGCCTGCCCTGCTGAAAGATTTCTCCCCTCAAAACATATTTAACGCTGATGAAACGGGGCTCTTCTACAAACTCATGCCATCATACTCTCTTAATGTCCGTGGTGAAACCTGCACTGGAGGCAAAAAAGGCAAAGAAAGATTAACGTTCCTAGTTGCTTGCAGGGATCATTCTGGTCAGGAGTTTTAGTGAGAGATTTTCTCTCATTTGAGAAATTTTAATGAGAGAAATTAGATTTTCTTGAGAGATTTAATTTTTATGATGGGCGAGGTTTAAAAATATGGAAATTTTTAACTTTTTAAAATCACTGTACATATAAACATTGTTTATCTAATGAGGATATAGATGTAGCTCTGTTTATTACAGTGATTTTTGTTTTCACTTTTTTGATTCATCCTATGCCTTTTCTTTTGTGAAATTTTAAACATAATTAAATTCTAATTGTGAAAAATAAATGTAACACTTTCATTCTGAAATATAAAAGAATTATACATGGATATCTACTACAACTATTATTTGCAGCCAATGTTCCTAATGGACAACACTGTACTGTACAGAAGTGATTGTTGAGATTTGAAGAATATTTTTTATAGCCTTACATTTTGTTTTCTTTATGATTCTCTTCACACACCTCCCTCCATTAAAAAATATTCATTGAATATGTGACCTGAACACATAATGACAAATATCTCCATATCCACAAATATAAACAATACCTTAAGTAATTTTTATTCATAAGCATCATTTTTAGTGTTATAAAACACCTTTAAATAACACTCAGCTTCCTTTTAGTATTTTTTTTAATCACGACATCGCGAAAATATGTGACAAATGAATATTTGTCTGTTTTCCGCTGAAACATTCACAATTCTAGCTGTTGCTGATTGCAATTATATAAAATTAAATATGTTTGTTCAATAAAAGAATATTTATTATCGGCTATTTCATCAGGAATCGTAAAACAATTTTTTTTTAATTTGTTCTTTACGGCAAAATTTACCGTGGTTGATGTGACATTTAGAAGACAAATTTTACCGATATTTGGTTTTGACATGTCCATTTTTATGTTAGTCTGTGTCTAACAATTTTTATTAATATCAATTAAAAGTGTTTTGTGTAAATTCTCGACTTACAGATAGATAAAGGTTACAATAGCCATCATACCGTATTTTCTGTACGTGAATTTGCGCAAGGTCTCCGATCGGCAATTGTTTTAGGCTAAATAATTCAAAGTGTTGGACTACTTTTTGGAGTTTTTTTCACACCGATTTCATTAATAAACAATTTGAAATTAAATTCTTGATGGGAATCGTAAATTTTTCATAATTTTTTGTGTGATTTTAGCATTCTTTAGATTGTGATTAGACATTTTCCGGCTCAAATTGCCGTGCGAGATTTTCTCTCATTTCACAAATTTCTCTGAGATTTTGGTGATTTTTTTGCGAGAAATCGCGGAAATCGCCCCCTAGAATGATCCCTGGCTTGCAATATGGATGGATCGGAGAAGCTTAAACTCGTTGTTATTGGCCGATTCGCTAATCCCAGATGTTTTAAAGGTGTAAAGTCCTTACCTGTGACTTACCTTGCCAATAAACGGGCCTGGATGACAGGGAAACTTTTCTCTGACTGGGTGCTACAACTTGACAGAAAGTTTTCATCTCAATCGAGAAAGGTGAGATTTGCATTATATTTATAATAAGTCAATAAATCACCTTGTTTCAGTACGATCAATTTATTATAAAAGAATGACAACTTGTAAATTTAATTAATACAATGTATCTCAGCATATTGTGCTTTATATAAATTAAGCAACAGTAATGAGGATATTAGTTCAGGCCATTATGGAAAAGCTTTTGAAAAAATGTTTTAATCTGCTTTACAGTATTTTTTTCGGTATTAATAACATGTTATACTATTTGAATTGGATATATTTTTTACAGGTATTACTGATTGTGGACAACTGTGCTGCTCATCCTAAATTGACTGGGTTAAAGTCGATAACTTTGGCTTTTTTTCCGCCGAACACCACATCGGTTTTACAACCTTGTGACCAGGGCATTATTTACAACTTCAAATGTAAATACAGACAGCGTATGGTGGAACATATCATTGATGTAAGCAAATTGTAAACACCTATAACAATGCATCAGTCAGTGCACTACAAAGCCTGTCTCCAGGAGGTGCGAATATCTTGGCAAACAATGTTATAGAAATCGTATCATTATTAATGACCTTTTCAACAGATATTAAACACTGCTATTTTTTTTGACATCTATTAATTGACAAATACAAAACTGATACAAATTTTAAGTAAAGTTTGTTTACATCTAAAAGAAATTACTCTCTATTTATATTGGTAATACAGTATCTTATTTCATACAGCTACATAATATATCTTTAAATGGGAACAATGAAAACATATCTCATAATAGCGCTTTCTTTTACTTCAGTCATACGATAGAAAGAAAGAGCCGGGCATCAACGTGCTTGTAGCCATAAGATACGCATTTGCAGCATGGAGAGATGTTTCACCAACTGTTATTATGAAATGCTTTAGAAAATCTGGGTTCATCGCAGAAGAGGAAACCATGGACGATGATGACGACATGCCACTCGCACAAATGATAGAAAATATCAGAGATGAAATTCCCCTTGCTCGTCTGCGGACAATAACAAACACAGACACTTCATTTAATGATATCTTGCCTGCAGAGGAAAATGAAACAATAACTGAGGCAAAAAATGATTCTGATATTGTAGCGGATATATTAGGAACAAATAATGACGATGACTGTCAATCATCCAAAGACGAGATCTATTTAGATGATCTGCCGGTTGTGTCAAAAAATGAAGCTATTGATTGTTTGCACAAGATTAGAACATACTTTGAGTCCAATGCACATGTTGAAGAAACAGTTTTTAAAAAAATATTGGATATTGAATTTAACTTGAAGAGTTGTAAACATTCCCAAACTAAAATTAGCGACTTCTTCTCAGCAAAGTGATTTTTTGTGCATGATATTCTATTGTTAATAAATAACAATATTGCATATATGGTACATATAATATAATTATGTTATAAATATATTTATATATAAAAAATATATTAAAAAGAAACAACATTGCAATTATTCCTTCTTTTTTTTTATTGAAACAATATAAGGGAGACAACAATGACGAACCAAGAGTTATTTCTCTTAATCAAATGCTCTTCAAAATGGAGGATAATGGTAAACAATTAGTTTGTTATATGTAAAACTGTTCGCTATAAAAACTTCTGATATAAGGAACTAATTCGCTATATGCTTACAAGGAACTCCGGATATGAGGAACAGATTTTGAATGTCCCGATGAGTTCGCTATAAGCGGAGTTTACTGTAAATGGAATTCTCAAAAATATGGGTGAATCCCCCCTCCTAGAATAGACACTGATGTCACTAACTTGTTTTCTTCAACAATTTGATCAGCTTTACTTTTAAAAAGATCGAGGATTGTCTTCTTTATTCTGTCAGCCAAAAGTTTAAATCAAAGTTAATATAGATAAATTTGATCCAAAATCAACTAGTCTTAAATTTGATTATTTTATATATTTTCAGCCAAAAGTATAAGTCAAAGTTAATATTAGAAAAATTGTATCAATTAACTCTTCTTGAATTTGAATATTTGATATATTTTCAGGCACTTTTATTCTCATTCAAGCATGGAGGAGCTATTCGACGTGTGATAGCAGTTTACAAAGACTGGTTTCAGGTAAATTGAGGTCATGTGGTTAAAATGTTAATAGGGTCATGTGGTTGAAATATTATTGGGTCCATGTGGTTGAAATTTTTGTTATATATTAGGATTTTGTTTTGTTATTAATGAAATTTGGTAAATTTGCATGAAAATATATATTGTCCAGTTTTATTTACTGTTGTCAGATGCATTTCAAATATTTTGAGTACTAGAATATGCTTTAGTTATAGAATAATTGTTATATTGTATAAGTTACCTTGTTTTGAGTGACAATAATCTTGAATTGGAAACAGACACTATCCAAATGACCAGTACAGACCAAGATCAGATGTCACATGTGTTTCATCATATTATGTCCTTCACTGCTATTCAGTCAGTACATATTTCAAAATTTTCCCTAAAACTGATATATGGTTTTGTCCATATTGACGGACAAGTTCATTTTAAAAATTGGCCACTAATTTTAGTAATGTAAGGATTCAATAGAACTGGGCAATATAAGCATGTGATTGTGTGCATCGTGTCAGAATAGCATATTCAGGGTTTTCTGCTTTCTACTGAGTTTTAAGACTTGTAATCAAATAATAATGAAGTTATTTAAGATTAAATGCAAGGTTGATGGTTGGGATTTGGTTTTAAAGGCACAACAGTGAAATAGTTTGCATGAAAGACATTGTTTTCAGGTATAAATAAGATATTATGTTAAGCCTTCAGGTTGATTTTTTAGCAAAAAATGTTAATTACCCTGTAAGATGCCTTTGGTTGAGTGATGGATCGAGCATCTTGTATAATTTCCATTTATTGTATATGATGTTTTGGGAGTGAAGTGTTTGGGAGGGGTGGTTGCTGCCATGTTTTATCAAAGTAATTTTATTGAAGAAACCATTTTGCATTTTGAAAGCCTCATTTTAGTTTAGATATTTATGCATGCTTTTAGAGACTGTGCATGTATTTTGAAATAGGACTTATAAGGCATTGAGTGTGTTTTACTGGATAGTTATTGTTGAAAGTTAAACTAATGTGCAGATAGGGGTTTATGAGGCATAAAGAATGTGTAGGATTTTTAACGGAATTTTCCGTAGTTTATTTCAACTTGTTTAGAGGTGTTTTGATCTGAAGGAAAGGTATTTAATCAATTTGGACTGGCATTTTGGACTTTCTTTTTCTTATCTGCCCGAAGTCATAAAAGCGTATTAAAGGTTATGGTTTTGTTGAAATAAGTTAGTCCAGAAGAAAGAAAAAGATTTTTATTTGTATAAACTTATTTTGTTTTGCTTCTTTAACTTTCGAATTTAAAACTTGTTATTCTTGTTTGAAATTGATCAAGATTTTGATTTTTTATCATTTGAACATCTTTGTGCATATTTGAATACTATATGTATTTTAGCAAAATTTTTATAATACTTTTTTCATAATACTTTAAATTGTAATACGTATGAATATTTTTTTTCTATTTGTATAATTCAACTTTTCTGTTTGTGTTTCCCTAAAATTAATATGCTTCTATTTAAGAAATTATAAAACTACCTTAAAGTATTAAATTGCTTACTTTATTTTTGGTGGCTGAACTTTGTCTTATGAATAGCAATTATGAATTTAGTTTCAAATTAAGTAGAGCTTCTTAGACAAATTATCAAGTTACTCTTTTAGTTTTTGGGAAACACAGCTATGTGAATAGTAAACAATGTTAACAGGTGTGTTGAGTCATTATAAAGTATTATTATTTAAATGCAGTGGTGTAAAACATGAAAGTGTTGATCCAGTGGTTTAGGTTTATGGCATGTAATTCCTTAAAACATGGATCATGAACATGAAGCCTAGCTGGGTCATGTTTCCTAGAAGAGGTTCAATAAATTTGACCTCGTAATATCTTGTCACTTTAATGCAGTACAGGTTAACTCCTTACATATTTTAATAGGTGTTAACCCGTTACTGCACTAAGGTGATATATTCCAACTGAAACTTGCAATCGTGAACTGTGCTTAATGATGACTAATGATAAATAGCTTTCCTTTGCATTTTTTAAGCGTAATTAAGCTGTTAACTTTATTATGCCCCCTTTTGAAAAAAAGGGGGTATATTGCTTTGCACTTGTCGGTCCGTCGGTCCGTAGACCAAATGGTTTCCGAGTGATAACTAAAGAACCCTTAGGCCTAAGAACTTCAAACTTGGTATGGTGATTGGTCATGACAAGTAGATGACCCCTATTGATTTTGGGGTCAAGGGGTCAAAGGTCAAGGTCACATTGACCTTGTAAGCAAGCAAAAACGGTTTCCGATCAATAAGTAAAGAACCCTAAAGGCCTAGGAACTTCAAACTTGGTATGGTGTATTTGTCATGATCAGTAGATGACCCCTAACGATTTTGGGGTCAAGGGACGTCAAAGGTCAAGGTCACATTGACCTTGTAAGCAAAAACGGTTTCCGATCAATAACTAAAGAACCCTAAGGCCTAGGAACTTCAAACTTGGTATGGTGATTGGTCATGATCAGTAGATGACCCCTAACGATTTTGGGGTCAAGGGGTCAAAGGTCAAGGTCACATTGACCTCTTGGGTAAAAAACGGTTTCCGATCAATAACAAAAGAACCCTTAGGCCTAGGAACTTCAAACTTGGTATGGTGATTGGTCATGATCAGTAGATGACCCCTATTGATTTTGGAGTTAAGGGGTTAAAGGTCAAGGTCACATTGACCTTGTAGGTAAAAAACGGTTTCCGATCAATAACGAAAGAACCCTTAGGCCTAGGGACTACAAACTTGATATGGTGATTGGTCATGATCAGTAGATGACCCTATTGATTTTGAGGTCAAGGGGTCAAAGGTCAAGGTCACATTGACCTCTTAGGTAAAAACAGTTTCGGATCAATAAATAAAGAACCCTTAGGCCTAGGAACTTCAAACTTGGTATGGTGATTGGTCATGATCAGTAGATGACCCCTATTGATTTTGGGGTCAAGGGGTCAAAGGTCAAGGTCACATTGACCTCTTAGGTAAAAGCAGTTTCCGATCAATAACTAAAGAACCCTTAGGCCTAGGAACTTCAAACTTGGTATGGTGAATGGTCATGACCAGCAGATGACCCTACTGATTTTGGGGTTAAGGGTCAAAGGGAAAGGTCACATTGACCTTGTAGGTAAAAATGCTTTCCGATCAATAACTTAAGAACCCTTAGGCCTAGGAACTTCAAACTTGGTATGGTGATTGGTCATGACCAGCAGATGACCTATTGTTTTTAGGGTCAAGGGGTCAAAGGTCATGTAACATTGACCTTGTAGGTAAAAACGGTTTTCTGATCAATTAACTAAAATGCTTAGGCCTAGGAACTTCAAACTTTGTATGATGATTGGTGGTGACCAGCAGATGACCCCTATTGAGTTTTGGTTCAAGGGGTCAAAGGTCAAGGTCACATCGACCTTGTAAGTAAAAACGGTTTCTGATCAATAACTTAAGAACGCTTAGGCCTAGGAACTTCAAACTTGGTATGGTGATTTTTTCATGACCAGCAGATTACCCCTTTTCGATTTTGGGATCAAGGGGTCAAAGGTCAAGGTCCATTGACCTTGTAAGTAAAAAACGGTTTCTGATCAATAACTAAAGAACACTTGGGCCTAGGAACTTCAAACTTGGCATAGTGATTGGTCATGATCAGCAGATGACCCCTATTGATTTTGGGGTCAAAGGTCAAGGTCACATTGACCTTGTATGTTAAAACGGTTTCAGATCAATAATAAAAGAACCCTTAGGCCTAGGAACTTCAAACTTGGCATGGTGATTAGTCATGACCAGCAAATGACCCCTATTGATTTTGGGGTCAAGGGGTCAAAGGTCAAGGTCACATTGACCTTGTAAGTAAAAACGGTTTCTGATCAATTAAGTAAAAACGCTTAGGCCTAGGAACTTCAAACTTTGTATGATGATTTGTCTTGACCAGCAAATGACCCCTATTGAGTTTTGGGTCAAGGGGTCAAAGGTCAAGGTCATGACCACATTGACCAGTAGATACTTGATAACCCTTATTAATTGTTTGATCACTGGGTCAGAAGTCATGCATAATTACCTTATCACATGAATAATTGGCTGCTGATAGGGGGCATACATGTTTTACAAACATATCTTGTTATTTCATGAAGTGAACATAAGGTTAAAGAAAAATATAAGAAAGTATCAAAAGAACACCTGTTAATTTTGTTGCAAAGCATGTATTCGTCCTTGTATTTATATATATATATTCTAGTAATTTTTTTATAGTAAGCCATTTTATTTGCATGTATAGAATGATAGCGATAACAAGCCTGTGTTCATGATGGAACCCAGTGACTCGGGTCTTCCCCTCGGGCTGCTGCCTGATTTATCACATAGCCTCTCTGATATCCTTGAGGAAGATGGTTCAACTGATTCTATGGTATGTGTAGTGTTTACAGGCTAAATACTGACTAAAGAATCTTTTTTTGTATCTTAATGAATATTATTTCATTGATTATTATGATGATATCAGTGATATCATTAATTGTTGAACTTCAACATGGTTGATCAATTTTTCTATTCTACATAGACGAAAGACAACGTATTTATCAATTTCTAGGTGACCTTTAGATACATAATTATTCACCCAGTGGACATATGGATGTTTTGGTTGCTGTTTATTTGGGAGATGTATCCAAGTGCTTAAATTATAAGCTGTATAATTCTATGTTTAAATTTAGTTTACTTTTTGCTGTTAGTACCCATTTGAGTTTAACCTAAAAATTTTGAATTATAAATTGAAATTTGTATACCAGTATGATTATTCAGTATTTTTTGGTGGTGCATAATTTGAGAAATAATTCGTATGAGAAAAAAAGATCATTTGTAAAATGATTTTACAGTTAATAATAATGTTTTTGCATGATATATTATGCATTTTCTTTTGACTTTTCTTATATAAGTAATTCTTTATATTTGAGCATTTATCCAAGGCATGATAATAACTATATTTTGCACTTAAATGATAGCTTTATGTGCCATATCTTTACAGTTTTTCCACTTTTCAGCTCAACAAGGCATGCCTTAGTAAAGTTTTGTCTTCTGTCTTTGTCTGCCATCTGACTTCCCTCCACTTAGGATATGAAACAATTATGGAATGATCCTTAGATGGTCCTTTACAAATTGAGCTTAAATTGTTATTGCCTGCACCCAAGCTAAAAATAGAAATAAGCTTTAATTAATTGTCATCACCTTTACTAACATCATTTAAATGAAACTGGACAATATTATTCACTGGGTGCTACAGTACTGTACAGAAAAATTGCTTCAGTTTGTTGAACAATTACATCTCTCTGAAGTGGTTGTACTCGGGTGAGCTTTGTAGGGCCATTATAGTTCTCTTGTTGTTCCTAGTTTAAAAGGGAAAATTTTAAATTATGCTTAAAACATACAGAGATATGACTTCTAAAATAAAATTGTTGGATTTGTAGGAATCTGCACCAAATTCAATTCCTCTGCAAATGTCTCGGGATTCAGGGGACTTGAAGACTTGGTTACGAAATGCTTCATACCTAGGTGCTATTCAGGACTTGGCTGATGGTGGGGACTTGACCCAGTATGACATACGTGCTGGTCAACAGAAACTGATCCAGATATGTGTAACAAATGCTGCCAATATTTTCCTGCTTCAAGCTGACAGTGATAGTGCATTACAAGAGCAGGTACAATATTTATAATATCATACAATATTGATATTATCATAAAATTTACCCCATTTCACCAGTTTTATATTGAAATATACATGTATGATTAAGATCCCAAACAGATACATGGATTATATATTTCAGATATTTACCATGAGACTTAAGATTGGTCAGTTTCAAAACGTGCTACCTGTCAATTCCAATTGGCTAGTCATTGGCTTTAAATTTAAGCTAGGTTGATTTAGTTTCCCTGACACAGTCACTTGACTATGCAAAAACTTATGACAGGAGCTAAATTTTTTAATCTCTTCATAGCCCCTAAAATTATTTTAGTAGAATTATGTACATATATTTTTATTCTTTTATTGTTTCATAAATTTAAAGAA